TTTGAAACTATTATTAAGAGGGGGTCCAGGGGGCGAGCCCCCTGACTTTCGCCGAAGGCGTAAAAAGCGAAGCTTGTCAAGTAGAGGGAAATGCCGGAGTTCCAGGAGAACAAAATTGGCTATTTCTTCGTTGAGCAGAAGGTTGTCTTGCCTACTGTGATCGTACCACGCCTACGAAAAGGGAGTAACTTCGTTTTACGCGGTATTTTGAATTCAGATGCATTGATCATCTACAGACAACGAGTTATGAATAGAATTAACAAAGATGTACCACCTTCAGAGACATAACATGATCCAGTTATACGAGCATTACGGTCGATGGCGCATAAAGGCTTTCATATTTGTTCAGAGAATACAGTGGAATAGACCTTGGTTCCTTGACCATCGTAGTCATAGTCATCAACTCGTGATAAGCGGTACGATGCCAAGCCAGGCCACGAATCGCTTAACCGATCACGGTCGTGATTCCGGACCGCTTCAGCGCCTAACAAAGCATGTATGCATCTCCGGAAGATAGATTCTGATTGAAGGGTATTTTTAGCTCCGCTGCGAATAAACGCACTTACGCCACGCACTGGCACTTTGGCTCTGTACTCAACTCCAGCCACAGTACGCATGTCGGAGCTGACGGTTCCCTGGATTGGTGGCGTTGTCTGTCACGGTTCACGTCGGCTTCGGGTTGAAATACCAGTCTTAGACGTAGCCATTTAAACTTCAGATAGTGGTCGCCCTTTACGAAGAGAAAATTGATTTTCGAGTGCTACTCAAGAACATCGCATATTCTATTTACCATTGGCCAATGAAAACGTGATTAGATCGTTCGGCCTCAATGGCGATGCAACGTTCACAAGGCTCCGTCTGTTGAGGTGCCGTCAGCAACCACCTGCCTATGTCCAAGCGCCCTTGAAGCCGGACCCGAGCTACTGGCATGCCGTCGCTTGTATCCATGTGCTTATGCTCGTGAATCAAGGAGCTTCATCGTTACAGTCATAAAGTATCATGCAGCGCCTCACCCAGACCTCCGGACTATCTTTGATGCTTCAGAGCAGCCACAGAAACCTGAAAACAGTAACCAAGGATGAAGACAAGCGAGAGCGTTTAACAGATTTCATCAACAAATTATATGTAGCTGTTGCATTGCAGGTGCGTAAAGCGAGAAGTCCAGAAAGAGAGTGCTTCGAGATTGATGTCATGAGCTATTCGTGTCCCGAATTTGATGGAAGGACAAATTATCATAGCGCCTAACTGTCTGTAGCACTGATATAAGCAATTCCACCATCTCATTTAGTCCGTATGTGGACCATGTTTCACGAATGTGCTATGCTTCCGTGATGTGAAGCAGAACTAAAATGAGCCTGTGGGTGAATTTGGTTGACCTAACAGATTTTAACCAGTTAAAGGAGGACTGACCAATGTCTTGCGACGTATTCATCTGATCATCCTCGCGCCGCCGGCGCTGTTTGGAATCAAGAATCAAAATCAAACCACGGCCCAATCTTTGCCCTTTCCCCATCTTACAGACGGGCCTATGTCGGGTTACAACGCGCATATGCTAATTCGCCACCGGGTTTAAAATACTCATAATCATCACCGCGAATGACCGACGCAAGACAGAAAGCTTGACGACCATCCATACCAGCCGTAGGACCAGACAAGTGGTAAGGTAGCGTAGCAAAGTGACCGTGTATTCAAAGAAGGAAATTTGATGCAGACCACCCTCGTATGCTGTTCGGTGTTCTCGGATGGAAAGCGCAACAGTTGGTAGAGAACACCCAAAGAGGCGCTTAATCAGCAGAAGAGAATGTTGATATCCATAATTCTGGATCTCCCGACGGCAACATGGCGGGCAGTACGGCACCGTCGTTGCAATGTAGAATGGAAAATAGAACTTGTAGGTCCATTCTGTTTGTGATGGTAATGAAGTTCGAAGACTAAAGTAGTAAGACTAGCTGGATAAGGTGCGTCGATCAAGTCGGGCTGTTCCTCTTTCGGGCTGTCCTGCGTACTACGATAAAGTCTCCCACAGCCTCTTTCACCTTCACGATATGCCCATGCTACCAAGGGGACCATCCCCGCCGATTCGGGGTTTGATCGTAGATGAGAGTTTTTTTAGCATACCATGATCAACCAACCCGGATGTCCGCGACGCCAAGCAATTGGAGGAAGCGCCATTTGTTTGTTTGGTATCGCGGCGTCTTAGGTTGCTAGACCTTAAATACTGGAGGACGGAGGGAATTACAATACTCACTTCACTTCTTTCCCCCACTCTTTCGTTCTTCGAAGCTTTTGGCCTGGTCGCCTTTCCCTTTCGCCTTTCTTTTTCCTCCTTCACGCTTTTTTTCGTTCGTTCGTCCAACTTTCGCTTTTTATACACCTTCGTTCTGGGTTGACCCTAGTGAGTATCTGACGGACATTATGCTCTCGCTCTCGATGCTGACCATCTCTGGGACGACACCTCAGGGCTCACTTCCAAAAACCTTTTTGAAGCGTACCTTCAGTCTCTTTCTGTTCCATAACAATGTTCGCCAAGACTATCATCGCATCTGCTGCCATTGCCATTGCCGCCTCAGGCGCTATGGCAAAGCCAATCACTTTCTGGCCATCTGCTGATATGGGTAAGACAACTCCTTGTATCAAGACCATAAGGTGCACTGACATTATCACGGTATAGCTAAACGCACTGACTCGGCGCCCTCTTTCAACAACTACCTGGGCTTGTCACAAATGAGCAATTTTGATGACTTCTTTGGCCAAAACAACTTCGACTCCTCGCAGAACGAGCAAACTGTCGTCGTACAGGAAAAGCAGGTCGTTTGCCAGACCCAGGAGATTGAAGTCGTCCAGCAGAAGCTCGTCGTCCTTATGGAAGTCATGAAGAGGTCAGTAAATCAACTGCAATCAAAGCAGACTTTAGTCGCCTGACCTTTGTGTTATAATATAGGGTTTTGCTTGAGCAGGTCTGTGAAGTTGAAGTCCAGACGATCGTCGTCCAACAGGCGTCGAGTATCATCTCCTCGTTCGGCAACTCCGTCAGCCACCAATCAAAGAACCAGGCTGGATACGACCAGAGCATCGCAGGCCTCTTAGGCCAGGTCATGAACTCCGACGGTTCGCTCAGCAAGAAGGACCTCGGCTTCAAGGGCTCAAACGTCGGTAACAGTTCAGTCATCGTCGGCGGAAACAACTGGAACGACACGACGTCGCCTAACTCTGTTCAGAAGGCAAAGGACCTCGCGAAGGACGCGTCGAACTCCACGTCCAGCTCGTAAAGTGGCTAAGATAGTGATGCATTTCTTGTAGATAGCTTGGACGCTTTGTCCGCTTCTGTTTTGGGACAGTTTTCTTTGAACATCGGACAGTTTACCTTTTTAGTTACGCTTCCCTGGGTCTAATTACTGCGAGTAGTGGTAGTCCATTTGTATCGTCGTAGGTGTACCTGATTCAACGAGTTGACGATCGAACGAAAAAGATGTTGAAGTGGTGTGAAAGTATCCTGTGAGCATGCCTGAACAAGCTTAATTGATAATGAATGAGTACAGGTCAGTGAATTGTTTCTTCGTACATATGCGAGTAGGAAAGACGGTTGCAATGGTACATTAAACACGAAGTAGTTTGACTATGCCTGCAGAACGGTGAGGACAACACATGTGTGTATTGGTAAGAGACACTCACAAGATAATTATACGATTTCTTATCCTCACACCTCTCCAAATAATCTCTCTGTACGAAATGGATTTAACGGTAAGCAAAACGTGAGTATTAAATGTCAATAAAAGAGCACAAACGTCGATTAGGTTTTCTATCCGCTTTTTGATTCCCAACGGTTGAGGCGCGAATCGACTTGCGAGCTGCCTCGTCACCTCGTTGATCAAGTCCGTATGCGTCATGTGTCTCCTATTCTTCATTATGCGAACAATGCAAGCCTAGCAAGACAGAGTCGAGAAATGAAAGTTACCCATGGCGTGTGGGTGCTTACGTCAATTTGGTGTCCTCGCTCTTGGTCAATACGATCCATCGTCTCCTTCCGCTCTTCTGGATCCTCGACCTTTGCAGCCGCAGAGACAGTACTTATCTTTATTCGTTGCATAGACGCGGAGAAGTCTGAATTGAAGGAAAACGAATCGTCCGGATTGACGTCTCTGGAAGGCGGGTGCTTTTTCAGAACCTTGAATTTCGCGCATGCTAATGACTGAAGATGTCGCTTCAAATCTGGCTCAGGCAAATCCGTTGCCTTTTTGATCTCCTGTTGAATATTAAAGGACGCTAGGAATGAGTACTCCACGTCGAAAATCGCGTATTGAAGTTTTCACCTCATATGTCAAAAACTGGCCGTCCTGGAGATCTTCGAACAGCAACAGAATAACCATCGCAAGGGTCGACACGTTTAGATCGTGTTTTCTGTTTTTGAATGCGACCTTCACATCAACCGTGCCAAGCGTTAGCTGCCAGGTAACTTTTCTTCCCGAATGTCGTGATAAATAGAAATTCTCGAACGAGCTTGCAGACGTCCGCATGCATTCAGGCAGATTGCACGGTGGAGGCTTCTGCGTGAGGTTGTTTGGCCAAGCGTTCGATGTCATTACAGTAACAGACATCTCAATTTCAGGAGGCTAGAAACCATCAGCACACAATGAGTAGTAAGTATAGTCAGTACACGGAAGCTGACCGTAGTCTTGGCGATGTGCTTTTTGTAAGCTTCCATTGTGTCTGCTGACACCTTCATGTCTGTAAACATGCCTTCCAGTTTCTGAGTAAAGTGGAATCCGCATTCAATCTTCAGCTTGGCTAGCATGCCGCGTTCTGCGTCGTCAGAGACTGAGCGATTGTGGAGTAATCGTTTTGCAAGATGCATCTTGTAGTACCGTTCAAAAACGTCTTTGTCCGTGATGTATCGGAAGACAGTGATTGTCTTATCAAGAACAATGTCGACTTCCTGATCCGTTTTCTGTAACCAGTACATTAGCTCACTCGATCGGCAAGTTGGCAAAGGTAACAGCGTACCCCTTTGAGACCTTTCTTCAAATTCTCATCTATAAATAAGGAAATATATTCGGATGAAAGTTTGTTGCGATTGATGAATGTCTCGAAAGCCTAGCAAAAAATGGGTCTTCTGTATCGATGGAAATAGGATGGTTGCTTACGTACCTCATTACACGACGTTTCAAATTCGCGGTCACTATTGAAACAATATCTCCAAAATTGGTCGAATCTGTCTTTTAGGCTTAAAACATCTTCCACCCATTTGGACGCTGTGTCTATGTTTTGTCCCGTAGTATTTCGCGCCTTTCCTTTACCCTTGGGGTCGTCAACAACAACGATAGTGGTATCTTGCGCCATCCCATCCCCGTACGTCTGATTAATTTCCGTTCCTCGTCGAAGAATGGAGTCCTTCAGAGCACGTCTCAAGGTTATACGTCCGGCAGATACCATGTCGAAAAGGCGGTAAAGTCGTGCTAAATTATCCTTCTGGTCTAAATCAATCATGCTGTCCAGGCCGGAATTAGGTTTTTGTATGATGGTAGGTAGGTGAGGTGACAAGAGTGTGTCTTCTAATATTTGACGTAAGGGTGTGGCGGTTTGAGAAGAAAGATAATGCATAGCACGAGCATCTTCCTGAGTAAATCGATCCTCGACCTGGAAAGCGAAATTGAGATTACAGCATTGGATAACTTCAAAGGGCTTACGCGTCTGAGGTACTCTGCGCTGTCGCAAGTTGTGAGCAATCTTTCTCCCTCCGCCTTATAGAAAGCTTCACTATCTCTCAGCACAGCTGGCTCAACATCCCGCTTGTACACGGTTACCCGACTCGTCCCCGTCTCATAGCGCAAAGCCAGGAGTATATCCACACAGCTTTTCATTGCCGAGCGATTAATAGCATAGCCTTCACGATCGATTTGGATTTGGTTGAGGATAGCATTGATAATATGTTCCTTAATGGGTGATTGTATCATCCGAGAAAGAAACAAGTTCATGCCACAGTCCCATATAACAGGAACTCCAGCACTGGGGCAATAGACGTGGTCCTACGATACACGAGAAACAATGAAACGGAGTCGGCAGTCAGCATACAAACAATCGGAACACGTACCATATACTTGAGTATACCCTTCACCTTCGACATACTACTTAAATGATCGTCCCAACTATCCCTGACAGCTTTCAGGAAGCGCTCGACCTCCTGGCTCTTCTGGGCCGGGTCACCGTTTACAGACGAGGGAAACGTGGGCTTCACCACCGTCTCAGCAAGTTTGTCGATATTCTCCATTATAAGTTTCGCCACGCCATCGTACATTTGCTTTCCATATTTGTGCAGGACCAAGTTGTATGCGTAGCGGTAGTTCTCCTCGAACGAAAGATTGGACGCATTGTGGTTATGGATTTCGCGGATTGCATTGCTGAGCTTTCCCCAGGTTTCTGTTATAGACGCATCTGGATCATGCTGAAGAGAAATTCACGTCAAATGGCGCGTTATCGGCGTAAGAGATGTAGTACACGTACTTTCCGGGGTGGTTTCTTTGTTCCGAGGCAGACTTAGTATTATGACGCCGCACGGAGCGGATTAGGGGGCAACTACTTACGATTTTCGCCTTTACTTTTCGTGGAACTGATAGATACACCATAAGACGCGTTCTTCTGTGAACTGAACTTCACACTCACCCGTCGTCATTGTAGTTAGTGGACAAAGGAGCCAAAGGCAGGATTTGAAGCTCACATACTGCTTACTTGCACGTGACCGATTGCGGCGAGTCATCCGCCAAGCGCTCAGCGCCAAGTTTCGAGTTTCGCTACCGTCATCAAGTTGTCGTGGCTCTGTAATCTTTCCTTATCCTTTGATAGGTGGGCTGGTATATAGAATGACTCGCAGGTACTTTGCCAACTACAGTACAACAAGCTATGCAGAAGTATTGAATAAGAGCACCACTCTATGTAAATCAGCAACAGCCAGTCTGGACAAAAGCGAGCAAACACAAAAAATGAATGAGTGTAATAACAACTACTGTAAATAAGTAGGTATGCAAGGAATGTAATACATTGACTAGTAGGAACAGCAGCTTCATAATCACAGGTCTACCGATATCATCATTCATTATTATTTTCAGTTCGTATGAATCATGAAGCATGAAGCATGAAGGTTTAAGGTCAAAGGCTTAAAGACTTAAAGTAAGTATGATCTGTAAGCCTCTGTTATTAGCTTCCGGGCCTTGAAGCGCGGATGAAATCAGTGAAGTATTTCCGGAACCCCTTCGTATCGAGATCTCGCAACTTCGTTCCGAAATCGATCGCAGTATCAGGTGGACAGCCTTGTGAGGGAAGGAAGACGGTGACGAAGAATTGGTACCCTTCTTCGCCTCGGGCTTTTGCTATTATTTGTAGGAAGTTGGCAATTTCATGGGAGACCTATTCAAAATTTGTTCGCATTGGTCAGTAATGTCATGTAGTATGGAATACACGCCAAACGTACCACGAGCATCTGCCCATCTTTGATGTTGAAAGCCGGGCTTAAAGGTACTCGAATAGCGAGCGGAACGAGTCGGTCATAAATGAACGCCTCGAATCCAGGGAGTGTTTGGCTAGCTTGTGCTGCGTCACCATTGACTGGGTGTAGCTGTCCCCACACGCTTACACAACGTCCGAGGAAAGAGAAGGATAATTTTTGCGCGGCTGGGTCTGATACGTCTTCTGCAATCTGGATGACACTCTCGAGTAACGGGACCAGGTGCGATTTGTTGGCTATAACGAGATGAAATTAAAAATCTGTACGAGTATAACCAGAGAAACAACATACCATCAGAAATGAGGACAGGATATAATTTATTCGTCATGATGTTGTTAAGGAAATTCAAGTATGCCCTCTTCGTCTCCCCGTGCGTTAGCCGGTCATCTGTCCCCGTAATGGGAATCGCAAGCAGCTCCATAATCCGCGTATGTAACGGTACGACGAGCTGATTCAGAACATCAGACATTTCCACACCTAGTCTATGCATGAGCAAGGTCAAGAAGTTCATGAAGTCTACGATCTCTGTTGGCTCGAAATGCGACAGAAGGCTCGACATCATTGCTGGGATGAAGTCCGTAATGTGGGATCCAGTTGTCGCGACCATTCGAGCGAACGCGAATCGTGCTGCATCGCGTACGGGTTTGAAGCCACTCATTGCGCCGAGGGACACCACGATGGCTTGTGTCATTTGACGGAAGACGGAAATAGGCGGGAGGAGATAACCCTCTGGAATAGGCTGTGGGACTTCTGGAAAACCCTTCGCGATGCTACCCAATGCCATCATGACGTGGTGAATCTTAACGATCGGTACGACGTCTTGAGCACCTTTGACGGCTTGTAGGTTCGCTTCTAGTTCGTCGAGGAGGGGTTGAACGAAACTTAGCAGCTGCGCAGCAGTCTCGTCGATATTCTTGAAGAAGAGAGAGACGAGTTGGCCAACGGCCTCAAAGAGGTTGATTTGCGATTCGAAGGCGTTGGAGTTGGCGATTGTCTCTGTAAGCAGGTCTTGCTCAGCAGGATTCTCGAGTTCCGGGATCTCCACGTTGATAGACAACAGATCTCGCATGCCGTTCAGAAGTGTCGCAACGATATCCAGTGGAATGTCGCTCCGTTCTTCTTTAATAAACTTGTAGAAAAGATAGAACATACGCGACCGGGCGGCGGTGTCTGGGTGGTGAATTCCCCTGTGGCGATAAGTCAGTAACGTCCGTTGAGAGCTCTTCCTACGTACCTTGGTCCAATCATCGCCTCTAACATAGGCATAATACACTCCTTGCGCACTTTGAAGAAATCACCATATCTTGCACACGTCTCGAAGAACTGCATCGAGACCGCGTTATTAGGATACACGCAGATATTTGACCGGACGAGAGCCATGAGCATTTCCCCGTGCGGCGTCAGTGGGTACTCTGAGTAGTCTGTTCCTTTCCTAAGCTCTCTGGCGACAGCTGGTGCTTGACAAAAAGCTGCTCGTCCTTTCCCTCCGGCTGCGCCACAGCCAGTTATTATCAGCGATCGGGGTAAACTTAGACGCAGGTCGTTGCGCTTACATTTATTGATTTCTCCAAAGATGTAAATGAGGTAGATCGCGAGCTCAGCGTCATTCCACTTCAGCTGAGAACCAGTTTCATATGCTGCTAATGTATCAAGGACGAGTTTCCGGATAGCCTCGATAGCCATGTCCTGGTCAATCACTACAATAGAGTCCAGATGTACCCGGAGATCACCCTAAGTGAGTAAGTTAGCCATATGCTCTCGTTAATTGAGCCGAGTTTAGCGGAAATAACTTACTTTTCTCAAATGCTCGAATGCATGCTTATCGTCCGCATCCATATCGTCTAGATCTTCGTCTTCATCCCATTTCATTTTTTGAAGGAGTGTAGTAAGTGTCGAAGCCAAAAATGCGCGGATGTCGTCGGTTATCTCGTGTGGTGAGGACCGTTTGACCTTTTTCAACTAAAAAGAATAAAATTAGTTTACGTGTCACGGTTGAAAGGCAAAGCGACCCACTGATCCGAGGATGCTCGAGAGCAGAGGGAATACGGTTGAAGTTGTATCATCGTAAGGATCGGCAAGGAAATGTAGCATGGTTGGTCGCAGGTCGGAAAGCATAGATAATGCTTCGGCCTTGACATCGTCTGAGGCATTATTCTAGATGAGTAATGAGTAACAATGGCATTCCGAAGGCAATGTTGAAGGCTCACGTCATCTGCTAATTTAACAAGTTCAAGTCCGTACGCATTAAGAAGTCTCCCAAGCGCCTCTCTATAAGATTCCTCTCCCTCATCCGTGTCCTCCCCTCGAGCAATTTGCTCTTGTCGAGTCTTGTCTTCTAGTGCTTCTAAGACCTGTCCGAGTGAAAGTACTCGGAATAGCTGAATTTTATCCCCGGGCTCTTTTAATCCTTTCGCAACCATGCGAAGAAGGGCCACGGAAGTTGCGAGGCGGATAGGCAGAGAGGGATCAGAGAGGAGGGTAAAGAGTAACGCAATAGTGGTAGGTGTAACGGTAAGATTAATGTCAATCCAGCCTAATTCGCGAAAGCAATTAATGCGCAGGAATGGGAGGTATAAATATTCTCAGCTTACCAACATATGATCCAAATGTCCTTACTCCCCAATCTACAACTTCTGTTAAACGTTCAACGCTTCCTCCACTAGCACCTTTTCGTAGATTAGTCAATTGTTCCGCGGAATTTGCAACGATTGTTAAAACAGCTTCATTGATCCTGCCCGCATCTCGTTCCCGAACAGCATCTCGCACCCTCGAGTCCCGGAAATGCCGTTGATTATTGTGCTGACGCGCAGCTTTTAACATTTGGTCCGCGACCTCTCCCGAAATTTCTAAGACCAAGTGGAAAAGAAGCAGCGAAACGTGAGGATTATATGTCGGTATTCCAGAGTTAGAAGGAGATTGGATGAGTCCGAAGAAGTCAGTGAAAAAGCTGGGCCATTGCTCGAGGTACGTGCACAAGAAGAATAATGTTAATGTATGCGAGAATTTATTCCGGATATCTGGATGAACATGTCAAAGAGTCGTCTGAGTGCAAGACTGTCAAAGTAACTCACATGGTGCGCCCGATTCTGCTGAACCCTGTGCATACTCAGATTGTACATATGCCATGAGAGCTTGTCGGAGGGTATCAAACGCGTCCGAGGGCAGAGGATCAAAGCGGCTGTCAAGGAAATCCTCCAGAATGCGTAGACCATAAAAGCGCACTTGAGGCTGGTGTTTTCGAGTGCCGTCGGAATTGGTATCTATGAAGAGAGAGAGTCCAATCTTCCATGGCTCAGCCGAGCTTTTTAACCTATCCTGTGCGAATTCGAGGGCTTGCTGGTGGAGGCCCGTTTGGGTCGGATCGGAGGCCACGAGAATTGCTTGTGAGATCTGTTCGATGTCGTCCATCGCAATGTCTAGTCGTCATACAATGAATCAGTCAGATCGGTTGTAAACCGTATAGATCAGGAAATTTTACAAAGATGTGACGACGAGTGAGTCGTGTGCAGAAGCAGCGGAGTGAAAGGTGCGTTCACGAAGGCGCGTCCCTAGGCAGACGCGTGCTCATGCAGTGTTTAGCTACGCACGCACAATGGTGAGTCAATTTCGGCCTTTGTTTCTTCTCCCCTCTGCCCTTCAATCCAATCAGAGTTGTTTGCTCCCGAAGGCTCAGCGGTAATATTCAGCGTTCTGCGACGTCAACTCTGAGGTCAACGCAACAGAAAGTTTTGTGGCTCAACAAAAGCCGATTGGCACGTGCAGTGGTCGAGTATAGACCTGTGCGCCAAGACTCTCGGTCAGTGTACAGAACGGTCGTTCAATGCAATATCGTGTTTCATCTTGACGACGTTGACGACTGCGCAGCGCTCGTCGCGACGCAGAGTCTCTGTAAATAATCCCTCCAGCAAGTAACAATTTGAAGACGCAGTGTAAAGCTCACGTTCAAAATGTCCAACCAATTGTCCATACCATTCAAGAAGACGTCTCAAATACCGATTCGTCAGGCGGTACGGAGTTACATTCAAGAGAACCTCCCGGACACGCATCCAGAGGCTTTCAAGTGGGACATCGAGCGATGGGAGCAGCTACGAAGGGATGCTACCTCCGAGAAGGTTCATGCTTCGCATACCCAAGCCATAATAAAGTAAGCAGTCTATGTACCCTTTCGGAATGATAAGACTTATAAATCTAGCAAGATACTGCGCACAGTTGGCCTTCATTCTGACGAAACTACCTGTCGACGTGCGTGCCGTGTCCGTAGAATTTGTGGGATAGATTCTAAGTTCAAGCTTTACCTAAAAGATTTCCCTAACGTTTCCATATTCTGTTGCGCTGAGACCTTCCGAGCGCTGGATTGAAATTTCAAACATTGCATACGAACGGGTTGCAATGCTATTCAATCTCGCTGCACTCTACTCTCAATTAGCGTCAGGGGAAGATCGGTCGCATGCAGAAGGCATTAAACGAGCGAGCGCATACTATCAGGTATGCTTTATTATTTATCTCTGCCACTCCTCGTTACTGAGGCTCTGTGTTATAGAATGCAGCCGGGACACTGTCCTATTTGATTACTTTCGCTCTCCCTGCATTAGCCCAATCCCTAGATGGCAACGCCCGCATTGACGAATTATCAGAGCCGTTTCTACGGAGCCTTGAGTTTCTAATGTTAGCACAAGCCCAAGAATGCGCCTGGCAGAGAGCTGTTATCGGTATTTGAAATATTACTCTGCTTTCTTGCTTCTTTTAAGCTGATTTGCATGCCAGATCATTATAAGAATGCTATTGTTGCCAAACTGGCTGCGAAGGTACTGGTAATTCATTCTTAGGACTGAACTATCATTGAATGTGCCAAGGTAGCGTCGTATTACCGGTTATCTTCCAGCACTATTCGAGAATCGAGGGCAAGCGAGGCTTTTCCGTCGGTACGGCCCGATTGTATAGTCTCGTTTAAATGTTAAACTAATGACAACGCAGGAATGGCTCGCCCATATAGACACGAAGCATCATCACTTTGAATCTGCAGCTCAGTATCGGAAGAGCGTAGATGACCTCGAATCAAATAATTACGGGCACGAGCTCTCCCGCTTGATCGAAGCCAAGTCAATTGCAAAGAAAGGGTACGAAATAGCGAGGCGAGCCTACGTTTCTAGACCCGTGGTGGATGACATAAAGGTGAAGTACTATACTACAATGAATATGTCATGATCATTGTATTCATCCGTCTGAACTATCAAAGTCCCTTTTGGATACCCTAGAGAAGAGTATTGTTCGCGCCGAGCGTGATAATGATCTCATTTACCATCAAGTTGTGCCACCGATCTCCGCGGTTCCATCAATCCAAGACATCTCAATGGTGCAGAGTGCCGTACCTCCAGGCCTTCAAGACCCCAAATCAGCTCTGGGCAACGAAGATGTTATATTTGGCGAGCTTGTTGGTTGGGGGGCTAAGGTCGCAGTTGGTTCGTACCCACCTACCTTCGCTTCGCGTTTTCTAAGCTGATGGCCTCTTCAGAGATATACCGAGATAGGGTACAGAATTGGCTACAGGAAGAGGTGTTCAATCGAGTGATGGAGCTCGACGACTTTGCCGATCAGTACGTTTTGCATCTCATTGTCTTCAAGCAACATTAGTATTTATCGTGATTTTTTTAGTATGTTGCAAGAGCTCAGCCTCCCCGCATCCCTCGAGGCTCTTGACAAGCCCGTCGGGCTCCCGCCAAGCCTCCTCAGGAAGGCGGAGGAAGTGCGGCTTGAAGATGGACCGGCACGCATTGACGGCTCAATTGAGAATGCCGAGCATCTCTCTGAGCGCTGTAGGGAAATTCTTGACGAAGTACAACTTCCACACTTCTTTTTCCAAATGTCTTTACGACTTTGCCTGATTGTTGTTTTATTTCAGGCAATGGATATATTAGACCAAGAGGCTTCCGAGGACGAAGGCGTACGAAAGAATGTGACGAGGGAGGGAAGACGATGGGATCGCTTACCGTCTTACCAAGCGAATATTGGCCTTACGGAGAAAGAGAAGAGGTATCGGCAGATGCTTGACCAGGCTGCCGAAGCTGATGACACTGTACGCTCCAAGTGGGAACAATGGGAGGAGCCGATCACACGGTTGACTTGGGACGAGGTAAGCTTTGCGTCTTTTTAAGCTTCCTTCTTCTTTCGTCCTCACATGGAACTTATATCACATCGCAGAACGACCTTGAGCGATGGGTACCATCATCGACGTCGTTCCCAGAAAACCGGAGGAAAGACGCTGCGAATGCGCATACACAGACACACGCACGAGCACTTCGCGCACATCTTGAAACTTTGGACGATCTTCGTTCCTCTCGAGCACAGTTGGTCCAGCGAGCACGGCGACTCGCTGATGGAGACGATATCCAGCCCCGCATAATGCGTGAAGCTGCTGCTTTCGAGCGATGGAGGGAAGTTGAGCCGGTTATGTTTGAGAATACGCTTGATCAGGAGATGAATAAGTATGAGAGGTTTAAGGATGGCGTTGAGGAAAGTGCGGATAAGCAAGTTGAATTGAGTGACTTAATCCGGGTATTTTCCTTTTTACCACGCATATAGTCATGACTTGCTCATAATTCGGCATTTTAGTCTCGCCATGAACAGTTCATTCGTTCGCGTCTGGACGATCCCTCTATCAAAGAACGAGAACATGCTTTACAGTCGCTTGATTTGGCCTATCACAAATATCGCGAGATTATACGAAATCTTGAAGAAGGCCTTAAAGTACGTGCGATCCGCCTCAAAAATTTGGTTTCTAGCTAATTAACTAATCGATTTATCCTCAGTTTTACAACGACCTCTTAATTATCCTGACTCGCTTCAGGGAAGCCTGCAAAGAGTGGGTGCGCTTACGACGTGACGAGATGCGGTCCGCTTTACTTATCCACTTCTAATTGTACCTCTCTTCTGACGTTTGGTTGTTATATTTTTAGAACGTTGTCTCTGAACCTTGATGGCTTGCGCATTGATGAAGACAATTTACCGACTCCAAAAGCTAGTTCTGGATCACTTCACCCTGTAGAGAAATCCCATTCGAAAGGGAAAGCGCCAGATATCCACCTTCCTCCACCTGATTCTGATGAATGGGAGGCTACGCCTATGCCTGCGCAGTCATCTGTGTATAACGCAGCGGCGGCGAGGAGGTAGCTGTTTTCATTCGACGTTGATTCGAGAAAATGTATTAGGGGTGTCATGACTCTCGACACTTCATACTTGATCCATGCGACATCCGCGTGGCTCTCCGTGCTCTGCCTAAGGATGCACACATCATGCTAACTCACACATCGCAACGCCCGCAATAATTTCGAGAAGTTAGAAATGTTTGTATTTGTAGAATGATTAATTCGCGTTGTTCAACAGAATGGCAGTTCAAATATCTCTGAACGGAATCTTTCTTGAGTATGGCCAAGTCCAGAGGTACAAAAAGACTGTATATAGGATCATATAACTTCATTGGCAACAACTGTAAACATTGTTTAAAACGCATATTAGGTCATTGAAACTAAAACCCATTAAATGTAGTGGACGATGAAGCCATATTTTGATAGCTAGAGTTGTGCATATGATCAAACAATGCCTGTCCACTGGGATGGCCTGTCATTCCCGGATTGTGATCTGTTTCTCTGAAGAGGTATAAGTTGAGTGAGAAAGAATGGAACAAGGGAAATACATACTCAATAGCATTACCACATGGATAGAGGCTTCCAAAATTTGTTCTATCAGAAATGGTCTGACTATTCTCGTTACTATGCATACTGGACTGAAAATTATTGCTAAAAACAATGTCTATAAAAGTAAATTAATTATTAAGAGACTGATTTCTTACTGATTGTATGCATGCATTGAATTGTTGGAAGGGACGGTGGCGAAGCTTGTATTAAAGTCGTTGTTAGTAGACTGCATATTGACAGAGACTGGACTCTGGTTTCTGTGAGAAATTTTGAGCTGTAGCATAGAATTTTAGACAATTGAAGTAATATTTACAGAGTACTGAAGCCTTGAGCATAGAAGCCATGATTCTGATGGTCCAGGGTCTGCTGTGCAGTGAACAGTCCTGTTGTACTGTTTGCTTTAGGCTACAAGACAGATTTAAAAATTAGTGATTGTTACTGATTTGGAATTACGGAAAATCATACTTTGCAGAGAGAGTAGCCATTCCTCTGACAGTGTCTACACAAATAGGAACCGTCCTTAGTCTTGACCAAAGTACACTATAAAATTAGCAAGTTATATGATGTGTTTGGACTTGGTGTAGAATATGTTTTAATACCTTCAAATGCTTGGAAGAGCATTCTTCACAGGGATGTGGATTATTGTTTGACCTTGTGTGTAAGGATGGCGGCGATTGAAAATGATTCAGAACACGCTCGATGTGGATGAGATTCTCCCCAAGAGAGTCACGTGCATCTTGACTAATAGGCTCGCGGGATGCTACTGCGTTGAGATATGTCCGGAGTGGCAGATTATTATAAATCTGGAATATGGATTCAAGCACGTGTATGAAGTTCTGTGCATTCTGGGCAGCAGCTGTGTCATCTTTAGTAAGCTGGGGCATTTTGAGGTAGAGAAAATGGGGGGCATTTACTGACCTTTACAGAGGGAATAACCCTGCGATGGCACGAGTCGCACGACAGGACAAACACAAGCACGAAAACGACCATGACGGCGCAGCACTTAGACTGCTGTGAAGGAACACTGCAATAAAGTCTCGTCAGATGATACAGTGTTATGAAATGGAAGAAGTCATACTCGAAATGGTACATCATGCGTTTATCAATACTCGCCGGCTGGGCGCCGGTACCATCATGCATTTGAAACGAGTTCGATTGCGAGTATTTGATTGCACTAGAAGGCCCGGCAGGAGCTTCCGAACTTGCGGCGAAGACAGAATGAAATGAGCAAGTCTTACTTAGTAGTGTATATACAGTCAGGTCAAAGATGACAGTCCAGTGCAATTGAGACAGAAAAGCAGAGGTTCCGTTCAAATTCCGAGTAGCAGTTTAAAGTCGAGTCCCTCATAGTCCCTGGATATCCTCAGATAGCATGTAATCCATAGGTGAAGGACGAATTCAGATTCCGGAGGTGCAAAAGACCACATATATTGATTTCGTGATGTAAAGTTGTACTGGATGAGGACAAATAACACATTTAGATTGTGATCACCGCCTTCGGCAGCATAACAAGTACAACTGCATTACTTTGCGGCCAATCGCCACAGATCTGTCAATCATGCACCGCAAGCGTACAGCCTCCTCAAATCTTTCATCTAGAGTGCCCACGACAAGAGCGTAATACTACCGGTTTTAGTTGAACACGAACCACGATGGGACGCAGACGCAGCGGATCTTCATCGAGCTCAAGCTCAAGCTCATCCAGCGACTCGGACTCAAAACACAAGCACAAGTTGAAGCACGACAAGAAGCACGGGAAAGATGAGCATGGACACCATGTAAGTCGATCAACGACGATACGATGATCTCCCGTCCCGTGTTCGTGTCACTGACAAGGGAATCGATCAATGCGCTGACCATACATGACCATAGGACTTTCCAGGTCTATCGTCCTTCCCTAATCCGCTTCACCATTCAGGAAGTGCAACAGCAGGGATAGCAGGAGCAGGAGCAGCGTCTTTCTTCCCTGGATCCGGAGCGCCTCTCCAACCTCACGGAATGCAGTTCCCGCAATTCAATCCGCAGTCGCCGTTCGGCGAGGGTGGGCGCGCGTCCTCGCCACAGCCTCCGCCTTCCTATCAGCATGCACCGCCGTCTGGGTTTAGGATCCCGTTGACGACGGACGCGCCGTTCCCGCCGTCTCAGCAGAGTCTTCAGCCACCTTGTGTAAGTGATTTGAGAAGTCGGTGTTTGATGAGATATTTATTGTTATGTTAGCACGATGCTGATGGGGTCTCGCCTGTGTATTTTGGGTGCGTACATGCGTCTTGCTCACATTCTTTTCTCTTCGAGGCATTTTCTTTGTTATTTGTTTTACTAACTCCTTCGTATCCATATCACTAGATCTGCCCTTTTCCCAAGCGCAGTCCATCCATGTAAAGTCGCGCCACATCTCTCACCTACGCCATGCAGAGTACCCTACGGAGGCGCCGAGAGGGAACATCATGGTCGATATGATCTTCTTCGTCAGTAAAATTCCCATCCGTTCACTAAAATTAACTCCTGCACCACTCACGCCATTATTATCCTTCCTCATCTCGCTATATGCGTGGTCCTTTCTAATCAATCCAGCCTTCACGCAAGACATGGAGCTCATCCCCGCCTCAGGCGGACACATCCCACCGGGCCGTCAACCCGTCGAGGGAGGGTACGAAGAACACGATGGAAGGAGTGTGAAGTTGTATCATGCTGTTGTGACTATCAATGGTGTACGCGTTCCAGGAAAATGTGGTGAACATCTCGTGAGTATAACTCCTTTCTCTTTTTGAAACTCATCAAGATACGTTGTTGTGAGTTTCGATATTGATGATTTTTTGATGGACAGTATGGTGCGAACGTAGCGTTTGGTGGAGCTGAACAGAGTGTTAGGGATTATGAGCTTTTGTGAGTGAATCCCGTCTTCCCAACCTGTTCTTTGTTAGTGGTTGCTAAACTGTATCCACAGGGTTTGGAGGAACTAATTTGACATCCGAGCTGAAGATTTACTCGTATAAAGATATCTATCTATGAAATATCCTGGGTGATCTCCCTATATGTTTGTATATGCGCGTAAATGCGCGTTTTATTCAAAGAATACATTATACGTCTATCTCGCGAAGACATGTATACTCGTGCAAAGCGTACAGGTACAACAAAAGCATAACTGGTCATCAACAACGATCGTCGGGAATGTGTGATGAGGATAAGTCTGTTCGTTTTTAGTCACGTTCGTGCGCCCACCTGGAAGCATCTAGCAGCACAATAGAAGGTGGACAGTTAAATAGGTAATCACAAAGAGAAGAAGTAGTAAAAGCATAGTTGACAGCAAACAGCTGAGGGCAGAAGTTTTTACGAAGCGCATTTCATCGAGGGATCCTAGCGCGACACATGCTGCACCTTACAACGATCCCACGTCGGGTAGGTGTACGTCTCGAGTTGAATCTCAAACGTCGGTCCTCCTCCTCCTCCACTACCACCATTTTCTTTACCCTTACGATTTCCACCTTTGCTTGCACCGCTGCCGTTGATAATAGGCATCTCAACTTGGAGAGGTTGCGTGTATAGTCGGAGTTTGCGTGTGTCGAGGTCTGAGAGTTGGAAGGGTAAGTTTGTGGTGAAATTGGTGTTGGTATTGCCATTGGTGGTGCTGGTATCCGCCGAAGTAGAGGTCGTTGGAGGGGAATGCAGGGCGTTTTTGCTGCTGCTGCCATTACCACAGCCGCTACCACTTCCACTCCCACTCCCACTCCCATTAACACTGGAGTCGCCGCCACTGCTGCTGCCCGCTGAGGCCGAGGGTGCGTTCGACGAGGACGAAAACCCAGGCGACGGAGACCTCGACCTAGCTCGAAGCGCCATGTCTGCAGCTGCAGAAGGCATGATTGACATCAATTCTGTGAGCGCGTCTGTGTTGCCTGGTTGAATTTTAAGTACGTTGCGTAGATCTGTTCCGAAGAATATTTCAGCAGTTGTTAAGTCGGAATTTTATGTATAATGAAGTTGTATAATAATACATCCTGCGCACCTTTCACTGCTTCAACTGTCCGACCCTGCATACGACGCGCTTTAGCACGTCTCCAGTAACCTTTCCCGCTCCGGTGTTGAGCGAGCGCTTTGTTGCATGCTTTCTCTGCGGCTATCCAGCTATTATCGATTAAAAAAACCAAATCCAGAATCAGATACGGGTCTCATGGAAGAAAACCATTAATAATATCAGACGAACGAACTTTGAAAGTTTTAGATGCGCAGCGGCAAGGTTGAGTTGATAATGTGGAAGCTCGGGCTCGATGTCGTACGCTGAGGAGTATTGCTTGATTGCCGTTTCGAAGTCGCCATTACGGAATGCTTTGTTTCCCTGAATCAGAGTAAGTATTCGTTTTTGTAAGAAAAGGAGAAGGAATGAGAATAAGTAAAGAAGATGGGAGAGGGACGAGGGAAGAAGGAAGACGTACGAGTTCTTTTGCTTTCTCTGCTTTGAAGTAACGCCATTCCATTAGCTCGCCGATTGTCATTTCTGGATCAAGGCCGTCACATTCGTCGGGTTCGATCCCGCCGAAGTCGAGTTCCATGTCCCAGACGTCTTCTTCGTCTTCGGTTTGCCAGCCGTATACTCCGCTCCCTGAACATGACATGGTTAGTTAGAAGTAAAGTTAAGTTTGAAAATTGTACCTCGCCCGTCCCATTCCCTTCCTTTTCCGGAGCGAATGCCGGATTCCTCTTCCTCCTCTCTGACAGTCCGTTCGCATACTTCACCAAGGTGATCCGTCGAGCATCCACAGTCGCACCATTTCGTTGTGAGCTTCTCTCGCAAGACGTTGCCGTACCCGCGTATATCGAACTCTTTGCTGACTTGCCACAATGTGTCGACGAGGCGTTCATATCCTATTCGTAGCTTCAGCCTCCAGTCATCCCATGCAGGAACGGGCTTATTCTTTTTGCGCGACAAGTCATCTTCTATGAGTTCAAGACCTTCATCGAGTGATGGTAGATGAGTAGGTTTTGCGAATGAAGCGATCGGCATGGCTTCTAGTACGTCGAGATGTGCTCTAAGTCCCTGGAAGTGAGGAAGTAGACGGAGTGAATGTAATCCACGCTTTTGACATATCGGTACATTATTTGACAAGGCCTGCCTCAAAGCAATTAATGATATGATATGTAAAGAGGTTTGATGTATGCTCACAAAATGCCGCAGGGCCGTATACGACCACAAAACGCTCTTCGTTGCAACACGTTCTCCGGCCTGGCGTAAATCCATTGCGATCGCACCTCGGAAGAAATCCTTGATCTCATCGCAGTCTGCATTCGCTGCCACCCACCCCGGCGATGTGAGATCAATGCAGTCGAGTACAAGCTTTGGGACATAAATCAGTGCGATGTTGTGCAAGCGCGTCGAGTAGAGTCGGCAGATATCATGTTCGTAGCGTAGTAAGAGAATTCGCGAGATGGCACGTTCAAGTTCTGAAACTGCTGTGATCGTCTGGAGCCACCCGGTCCGTTGAGCTAGAGTTACCCCATTGAAAACGATTTAAAGTGCTCACTGCGTTCATTGTCTGCGAGATAGAGCGCTCGAGGTGTGGGTTTGGGTTCCGATGGGCATGGCCATGGAACATCGACCCATTCTTGTTATTCGATGATGCGCTGCCATTCTTACGTGCCGGGTCGCGCGCATTCAGTCGTTTCTTCGCGTGTGAGTACTTCGCGGGCATCCTGGACGGCGCTTAAGGTCGGTATGTGCCTGGGTTGCGTGTTTTTGTAGGGAGTGCTGTGTCGTCGTGAAGAAAGATGATAATAGGTGACCGAGATCGATGCAGTGATGCAGTTACAAGCTGTGTAAGAGTCTACCTTGTGTATATAAGGTTCTGAACCGTGTAAGCGCATATATGTGTGCAACACGTGCCACGGTGCTGGGAAGAACTCACAGCGTCAAAGATACCTGATGCTGACGGTCCTAACCTGATACTTAGCACCGATTAAGCGCGTATATGTTGGTGCTACACTGGCTGAAGTCGAAGGGAGAACAAAAGGGGTCTGCACATGTCCGTAAATTGAGCCGCCGTGTCCAAGTCTGAGCGTGTTGCGTGACTTGGACGCGTCAATCGCGCTCTCTCCCATCGACCCCCACCTTGCTCTCAGTCAACTCGGTATATGTGCGTCCATGGCTCTGCATCCTTGGCTTTGGCAAAAATAGCAGAACTCGTATCCTAGCTGTCTGTGCTGTCCAGTGCTTCTCCAAGGCTCAACCTGCTTGCTTTCTTTTCTCGGCTTTTAATTATTGTCCGATTAAACACCGCCAGTTGTACTCATGTCCTTCTTCTCTGTGCCGATTATTGACCCCGAGAATCCGCTTTACTCTCCCGAAATTACGGCACAGCAGGTATGTATAGACGCTACTAACAACTTAATCGAAGGATATTCAAGATAACTGCAGTACATGTCCAGTGTTCGGTTGTTCCAGGCGTCTGTGGCAGATACCTCAAAGTTTCCCTACTTCCATCGCATTTGCAATGCTTTCTTGGACAATGCTTTTCAAGATTCACCACAATCTCTTCGACTTACGCACGAGAAAGCTGTATCTATTGCTGGATCTCATGAGCTTGGCAGCGCGGCGAGCGTCAAAGAAGAACAAGACTCGGATAGCATCGAATTAGCTTCTGTAGCTGCGAAATTCTTGAAACGAGCACCTCTTGTCGACTCTTCTAGTTCAGCCGATATTCTTCTCAAACGACCACCGAAGAGGGTCAAGCGATCTTCAAGTCATGTCGATATGTCTTTTGTTCTATCAGCTAAAGCCGAGCGACTTCGCTTCTCTGATAAACTGGCTCTACATCCGAGCTCGGACGTCAAAATTAATGAAGAATCGAATAATTCTCTAGCCGAAGAGCTTTTCTGGCCGGACGAGGAACAGGGAGAGATGGTATCGACGGAGTTCATCGAGTTCGCGGTTGCAGCTGAGTTCGCGTCAGGAGTGGTCGATGAAGGTGCTACAATCATTCAAACTATTACCTTGCCTTGAATACACTCCGCCGTAGTTCAAGACATGTCTATCACTAACTACCATCAAACTAGACGTCGCTCTCAATCAATACCCGGAATCATCCAAGGCTATACTGGCTCTGCTTAAGGAACTCGAAAGGCTTCTTCCGGGCTTGCGTCTCCGAGATCAACTCGACGTCCACACAATAACCCACCAAGATATTGTCAACGTACTCGGAATCAAAGGTATCCTAATACACTTTTGGTGTTTTATCAAGTTATGGACCTTTCGCATCAAGGTCATCTCAACACTCAGACGCTGCCCTTGTTTCGGCATACAGAGATAGAGTCGCTAAATCTTACGGAGTCAATGGCCGATGCTGATGGGCTCAATTTGCTCAGACACGAAACGTTGAAAAGTTAGAAATTGTATTCGTTGTCTAATCTAATCTGAAGTCTGACGCTTTGGTGTTCAGTGTTCATTGATCCTACCGGATTTCAGTCACTTCGGTCCTTGGTGCTCTCGGACGTCCCATTATCAGACGATGACCTGATGTGTCTAAATAGTCTCCTGCGTATCGAGTCACTCTTTATAGATGATACGCAAATCGGTGATGTAGCGTAAGTCGCATATACTACCTTAGTTTTGTACAGTCTTCTAACAGCAATACCTTTAGTGTTATGCACCTTATTGCTCTTCGACAAAGTCTTGTCCACTTGGAACTTTCTTGGAACGAAAAAATCACTGATGACGCGATACCGACGCTCTGTAACTTCCCGGATCTCACTTTCCTTTCACTGAAGAGAACGGCGATTACGATGAAGGGACTTCGAAAACTTGCTTGTTCGGTTAAAGATAGAGAGAAGAAGATTAGTATTATCTTGCCTTCGGAATGTGAGGAGTATCTTTGCAGTACGTCTTTCTTTTTATTCTAATCTATTCCGATGATCTACTTTACGCTTTATTCACGAAAATAATAACAATACTTTAGACCTCCACAACGAATACGAACTCAAGTTAACTCCACCACTCATTCACGACCCCGATGTATGTTCTATGCTTTCGAAACCTGCACTCAAAGAGAACCTTGCTGCACATGCTTTGCGGAACTTGGAGATTACGACGGATGGGAATAAGGCTAAGTTGGAGAAAAGGTTGAGGAAGGTGTTGGAAAGGAGGAAGAGGGATTTGGTTGTGCAGGGGTTTATGTTGCAGGGGTTTGTGTGAGTGTATTAATTAATTGATGGCTGTTTTGGAGGTTTGGTCTCTGGACTTGGGATTAGTGGAATGGATGTATAGTAAGCTGTCTTTCTTTGCGATGCACTGTGAAATAATGTTCTTGTCGGTTTTTTTGTTCGATGGGGTTAGTGGGATGGATGTACAGTACACTGTCTTTTTTGCGATGCACCATGTTGTCATTTTTTTGCAACGTGTAGGTCATGATGGAGTGGGAATAAAATTCGCGCACTCTATAAAACACAGTCGTGTGGTAATGAAAATTTATCCGAGTGAAGTACCAGAGACAAGATGTACAGGGAATACGGTAACTACCTAATACTTTACGAAGATCAGTCCAATAGAATGGTAACTTAATAAACATCCTTGTCTAAATTATTTGGCTCCGTTTGTGTGGCAATGCCGAAGTCCTTGTTATAGCAAGTCTTTTTTACTTGGGCTTACGGCATCGGGATATTTGTGCGTGTATTGTCCCCCGAGCATAGACAATCCGTCGTCTTACACCTTGACTTCAGATCTCTTGCATTCTGGGGAATTAAGGCCCTGTGGCTTGCAAGGATGGTAGTGATTTAAAGACTCGCTCACCGGATCGTCTACTGTCGTGCCTCGTGTCCCCTTCACGTTTTTTCCTGCTATATATTTCGGGCATATGCGCCTGTCCTCATCCCCCGCTTAAACTAGTCTTCTCCCCCCTCTTCTGGCTTAACCTCCGCACCTCCGCTCGCACTCTCGTAACAAAATCTTCTTTCATTTGCGTGGGGACCGTGTTCTGAACTCCCACCGTCGGCGATAGAGGTGAGAATACTTTATTGGGCATGTGTAAATTTTGTCTGTTTACAGGCAACTGATGGGACCCGCGATACGAGCTAGTCAGATTTATGCTTCGCGCCGGGCCACGCTTCACCGTTCAGCACCGACTCTCGTAACGCGTCTTCCTCTTTTTCCCCGCCCCCGTCTTCTTCTGTGGGTCCACCCTCTGCCATGGCTGACCGCGCGCGCCCGTCCGACGATCACCCACGTCAGAGGGCCTTGCATGCCGGTGCAGACGACGGAGTGACACCCGATAACAGTAAGATATCTCTTACTCTCCGGCCCGCGGAGTTTGACGACGAACCTCGAGAATCGCCGCCAGCAACGGGCTCTTCCACCACCTCCTCAGCCAGCCCGCACGTCGGGACGTCGCGCCAGCTTCGGGTGCATGGCTATGCGACTCCTATACGAAGCACGATTATACGAAGGGAGCTCGTTGAGCTTGCCGGCAATCCGTTCGTTGACCCTCACGGGCCACGTGCCGATGGACAACCCTCGTTCAGGCAGGACATCTACCCCGCGTACGATGCAAGTGGTAGACGAATCGGTCTCGAGCACGTACGCAACGCGAGTGTCGCGTCGGAAGCGAAGGGTTATTATCGCAAACACGTGCACGAGTACGACAACGCACGCGGCACTCCGCTTCCCCTTCCTTCTTCACAAAACCAAAATCGACAGACCCCGCAGATACCTGTTCAAAGTAGTTATCCGGAACAGGGACCGCTACCTCCTGTATCTGCTGTGATCGCCGGAATACCGCACGAACCCCAATATAGTGTCACCTCCTTTTCGCATATCCAGAATAAACCACGATCGCCTCATGAGATGCTTGGACTCCCTCCTGATGCACCCCTCAACCTTTGGAGCTTGCTTGATCCCGAAACGCCGGATGCGAAACCTCAGTATAATTATCATGTCCTTGTCAAGCTCGCTATACTTGGCAACAAAGGACAGAAGGCTACTTTGCAAGATATTCTTAGGGCCATCCGTATGCGCTTCCCGTATTATGACAAGCTGTCGAAGCAAGAAGCGATAGCCTTCGGGGTACGTCTTTGCTACTCATTCCCGTCAATTAAGTTGTTCGCGTCTGACTTGACTTTATACACACCCTTCACAGAACTCGATTCGGCATTTGCTGTCCCTTCTCGCAGCCTTCGTAAGGGAGCCGAAGCCAGTTACTGAGCCCGGCAAGGGTGCATACTGGAGAGTCGACTTTTCGAAAGGTGAAGGCAACAAGCGTGTGCGTAAGCGCAATAAACCTCAGAAGAAATCAAGAGGTGCAGATAAGCAAGACAATCAAGACGAGAAAGATGAAGAAAGCGAACGATCTGGTTCTGAAGAGCCTTCACCTCCGTCTGCCCAGTCTTCGACGCAGGAATCAAGCAGGTCTCCGACCTTGCAGTCACCGATTGAGTCGCATAACCGTCCACGGACACCGAAAGCGAGGGGCGGAGGGAGAGGCGGGAGGAGGCCTGCTCCGAAAAATCTTATTACGACTCCGAACGGTAGTACAGCGATCGTTTCGATGCCGCCTGCTGAAGCGCCGCAGAATGATTTTCATGCACGCATCGATCCTGCGTTGAGGGATACTCCCGGGCCTGCTCCTCAATCTTACGAAACGGCTCCACAGGAGCCTTATCTGCAGCTTTATCCGAGCAGTGTCGGTGCACATCGTGAACGACCCGTCCGTGGTGCAGCCCGTAGTGCGCCATATCCTTCTGCGCTTGCCATACCGAAGGATCCGTCGCGACACGGATCGGAAGGCGGTCCTCAACGATATGCCTCCGATTCACCGGTCGATATGCGGTATAGGAATGAGCATCATTCGAGCGTGTCGCAGAGTAGCGGAGATTCGTATTTGCCGCATGAGTATCAACGCAATCATCACAGTGTTTCCGCACCCAGCGTACTTGGTGGTTATGACCAAAACGGATACGCACCTCATCATTCTTTCAACCCTGGTAGCCATCGGGACGACGCGTCGTCTAAAGAGTCTTCATCTTCTGGTCAGAATATGTCACCGACTTATTCCGAGCAAAGATCGCAACCCTCGTCGGCCAACTCACATTACTCTACTCGGTTTTCACGTAGTCCAACGACTTACCAAATGACACCTTCCTCGACGACAAGCTATGGGCCTCCACAACTTAGTATTCCTATTCCTTCGAGCACTGGCTCAGCGCCTGGACCTAGTTCTTCTGTTTCGAGTGGTGGCTCGTATAGTATCCCTCCGCATATGGAACGCAGACCTACGAGTGAGACGGATATGTTCAACGGTGTGCACCAAACTCGTACCGAGTATCACGAAGATGAGGGGCGTGCGGGTTCTTCTGCATCGTGGAACTCGGCTCGTTCGACACCTCATACTGTGGAGTTGAGTTCTCGTTTTTGAAATCGATGCACAGTGGTAGCATCCACTCGCCCACCCAGCTTTTTAACCGCCCTCTTTAAAACGCACTTTTGGCATGGAAAGTTAACTTACCCTGAACCCTAACGCTCTTCTAAGGATCTTATCCCCTTCTCACCTTTCTTCTTTTGTTTTCCTATTTCGTCTTCTGCCTCACCCTTACCCTTCTTCCCTTTCGTCATTGCTCATTGCTCATTCCTCTTGCTTGCATATGCCTACTTTTTTTCCCTTGCACCTTTGCACCCCATCCGAATTGAGCTTTGGATTTGATGAAATTGGTTTTCCAATTGCATTTTCACTCCTCTTTTTTCCGCACCTTTTTTCTCGCTTAATTTCTTTTTGCTTTACTATCCTAAACCTTTAAAAACATCACCGTTATCCTTTTTTCCTCCTTTCTCCGTTTTTCGGTTTTCCTTGCTCACCTTGTACCTACCTTCTCACACTAAAACGTTTCCTTTGCCCGTTCACGCTATCGTAATGCTCTCGTTCTCACTATTAGTGCTGTTCTCAGACAAACCCTCGCACACCGCCCTCTCCTCCTCTTCTCATGTTATGTCTTACTCCTTTGGCCATGCACGGGATTTTGTCTGATTATGGTACTTGCTATCTACATTGCTTTGAATCTTGCTATCTACGTTGCTTTCCTGTCTTGCTTTGAACTTTGCTCTCTGGCTCGCTGTCATTTGCTGTCTACTACAGTGAAACCTCTCATTAAGCATTACTCTTGTTAAGCATAACCTCTCATTAAGCATGACATTTCAGGTCTACCATTACTCTTGTAGACACTAGAATTTTACTTGTTAACAAGCATAACCTCTTAATAAGCATTACTTTTTATGTCCACCAAGGGCAATGCTTAATGAGAGGTTTCACTGTACCTACTATTGTCTTACTATCTTAATTGCTCTTGTTGTTGTTTCTTTGCTCTGCTCTGATTTTCTTTTCTTTTCATCTTTTGCTTTTGTGTTTTTCTTTTTGTACATACTTGTTGTTGATCTGTTATCAATTTATTGTAAGTAAACTAGTGGCTCAAGTAGCTCAAATCTTAAGTATTGTTGTTATATGGATTGATCCACTAATGCTTTTTCTTTTCTTTTCTTATGTGTGTTACAGGCATCCCTTGTTGATCTGTGCAGGTGAGTTTGTGGGACCCTGGTTTTGGAATCTTTACAAGTGGGGGAATGGACACACAAAGGAAAAATAGTATTATAAGTAGTTGTCATTCGATTTGGGATTACACTACAGAAGTTACGGGATAATCATTTCGTCAGTCCAACAATGTACAGTTTCTAATAATGATGCAGAGGCAGATGTGAATCTGAGCCATTAGCTAATCCAGTCATGATAACGAGATGCGCGACAGAGACAGTCATAAGCGTGAGGATCTGGTCCAGATAGCCTGTGGAGAATGAACTCTTGGCTTGAAGCTGAGTAGTTATAGAAGAACGATGACTTTGCGGATAAAACAGTCTGAAAGCACGGAGTCAAAGGTCGAGAGAAAGCACCAAAATACCACTTCTAGAGCCCGCAAGCGTTATTCCCACCGATAACCATTCCAGAATTCTTGACGAGCCTCTCATGCTTGTCTTTCAGCATACTCTGACGCTCACTCAGTACGACTTTGTGTTGTACGACTTTCTCGTGAAGAGTTGCGTGGACTTCGAGCTTCGTGCTGTTATCGAGAAGTAACGCGAATTAACGATTGTAGTAGACTTTCATGTGTTGTGGAACTTACGTCATATGGTCTTTCACCTGAAAAAGGATGTTAACGAGTGCTTGCCATTTCGTTTAAGGAGCATGAATACGTACGAAATCGACCAGCTTGCCGAAACGCTCTGACATCTCTGTAATTTCCAGTCCATCAGTATGTAAGTACCATCCGAATATCATTACTGACCTTTGGCGCCGGCCTTCCAGTCCTCCATCGAGCAATCAGTCCAACGTTTCTTCGCAGCTTCATATTTCTCAATGTGTGCGCCAACATAGTGCTCCAGGTCGACCTCAAGGAAGCGAGAAAGAGCTTGATTGTCTTCCCCGAGTTGGAATCTGTTTGGAGCGTGCGGCGGCTCAAAATGTTGATGAGCGGCAGGATGGGACTGGTGAAGCTGGTGAGGATTGACTTGAACGGGTGTCTGGTACCGATGCGGAGGCGTGGATTCCCGGGCGTGCCGTTCGTAGGATGGATCTACAATCTGTTGGCGCTCTACGATGATCTAATGGTGGTTCAGCAAATAGCCGTGCAGACGAAATACTTCACGAGCCTCTTCTCTATGCATGTCGATCTTGGTACGCTTTCCTTCTCGACCATGCAGGGCCTCGTCGTCATCTTCCTGTTGGCCGATGCGCTTCGTCGTGCGACGGAGGCGATGTTCCATTGCCTGTGGACCTGGATTGTCGATGCCTTCATGTCTATCAACGTTGATTGGCTCTTGATAATCGTATACATGCTCTTCATGCACGGAGCGTTGAGCAGGAGCAGGAGGTGAAAGTGAGCTGAATGTATGCGTCATCTCTGAAGGCACGTCCTGGCCAGTCCTCATTGGATATACTTCACTCCTTGCGGGCTCCAGATTTCCACTATAAGAGCGCCGTATAGGAGGGGAAAAGGTGCTCGTAGGAGTAAGCCCAGATGCAGCGTTATTAGGATGATGGGTACGGCTGTATCTCTGATTATTGTCAGCTGCATGAGGCGTGGAACCGTCTTGAAGGTGTGCAGGAGGTCCAAGGCGTGATTCTGGGGATATGAGTCGATCGTTCGCAAGTAGACCGGCATTCGGAGGATTGAATAAGTAAGACGATGGAGGACAAGAATTTTGAGGACGACGACCAGGGGACATGGGACGAAGTCTTGGTGAGCCGATCTTGGAGATAGGGTCATTCTCTTTAAGCCTATCGACGGCAAGTCTCTTGTCTTTCTTGTTCAGACTGGGAGTGCCAGTGCCATCGCCAGCCTTCCTGGCCTTCGGACGAGTGAGATTGCTGATGTTAAGTGGTTTGTCGGGGACTGATAAGGTCATAGGTGTGCTTAATGCTTGAGGTACGGATCCTGTCACTATATGCGTTTCGTTCTTGTTCTTGTCAGCTTGGGCAGTATTTTGCAAGGCTCTGCCACCGGGACGAGGCGAGTTGGATGCATCTTTGAGAGGTGGTCCGGGATTCGAGTCACGCTTTCCAGGTCCAGCGGGTGCACCAGAGGCTGGTGTGTGCTCATTGCCATCCGCTTCGCTGGGCTGCTTGGAGGACGGCTTGCCACTGGCGACAAATCGTTGGCGTGCACTCATTGGTGTCGTCACGCCAGGACTCGGAGCTGGACAGAGATGGACGCGACGGAAGCAAACACGGAATCGGAGTCCAAACTTAGGGAGCACCGCCACAGCCAAGTCCGATCACGTGGCCATAACGCGTGGTAAGTTCAATTTCGAAGGCGCGCCTTACTCGTCTTAGCGCACACACGAGCCTCCTTTTCTTTCCCCATTCTCCCCCTCCCTTTCTTGCTTTACTACACGCGATCTCGATTGACGATATTTCACGACATTAACGAGGACATCCAAAAGGCTTGTACACGCGATACGCAGGGCGCTACAGCACTCTCCAGCGACACCGCACACTTCATATACGTACGGCCGTTCATGCAATTCATTAATATTCATGATTTCATACTGATTATCTCCTCAATCCAGTCGGACCACACTCTCTTTACTAACTCGTTTGTTATTCTTTTCTAGCGATACTCCTCCCTTAAACCATGGCCACTCAGGCTCTGCCGAGCTTTCTGAGCGCATCGACGTTCACCACAGTCATCGGCGGAGTCACCCAAACACAAGTTGAAACTGTCGTCGTGTCGTCAGTGTTGCCAACACAAGAACTACCGTCATTTCTTTCCGCGTCAACAATTACTGCAACAGTTGGAGGGGTAGCAACCACGGCCACGACACTTGTCGAAGTGCCATTGACCTATATTGGTCCAAGCGTGAGTTCCCTGGATCTCAGAATTTCTTCAAGCTTTCAAGGTATCAATTAGCTCAAACAACACAATTTTGTAGATCCCTCTTGGAACTAATGGGATATGGACCTTCCTAGGCTCGACAACTCCGGCCTCCCTTCAATCTTCTACCGCGACACCTTCATCTAGTTCCTCTCAAACATCGTCAGCATCAAGCAGCTCAACGGGAACTCCAACTGAATCGAACCCCTCATCCACTACTTCCTCAGTACCATCAGCAAGCTCCTCAACCGCCGTGGCGGGCGCAGCTGGATCAAGACACCATCTTACCACTGGCCAACTGATCGGCATTATTATCGCCGCCGTAATTGCGGGACTAGTCATCTTTTTGCTTTTCATACTATTCTGGTTCCGCCGTAAACGCCGCCGAGTTGGGTATGAGCATCCAAATCTCAGCGATTTCGTCTTTGTCGAGTCGTCAGAAGGTCCGACACGCGTAGCTGGCGAAGGTAGCCCCCGACCCACTGGCGAGGAAGAAGATTCATTCTTGCGACCAAGTGGTGAGAGTCAGACAGCTGCCGAAGAGATGCAAGAGATCGGCCCAACGGCTCGCTTGGTCGATAATCGGATCTCGACAGCTACTGATTTTACTACTGGAACAACGATGCCTCCTGAAGGCATTGTTCCGACCGCCCTAAAAACACCACCCGCATCACCTTCTCTCCCTTCTGGTCCTAAAACTCCAAGTCCTTTCTTCCATGCATCAGCATCATCGCTATTCTACAACCCATCACGAGGACCGGATCAATCTTTGGTCGGGGCTGCTGTTGGAGCAGCAAAGCGTGATAGTGCAAGTACACGGGCTTCCTCTTCGTCTTCTCCCAGTGGTAACGCGGGAAAGATTCTTACATCGCGTCAGTTGATGGAGATGGACGACCAGTGGCGTAGAGAGTCCAATGGCAACCAACATGGAGGTGTGGGTCTCCATCACAGACCATCAGAACTCGGCGAACGTATAGGTACACCACTTCGACCGCCGCCTGTATTGGGTGCTGCTGCCGATACAAGTTCTTCAAGGGACATGAGTTCTATGCGTTCCTTAGGATCACATCCCGAGTCACCTGGTAGTGACAGTGATGAGCGAACAGATCTCTTGATGGCCCACCGCTTTAACATGAGCGAAAGCGGGCCGGCAGTCCTCCTGCAGACTGATAATGAAGCTTCCACTCCGTCAAGCTGGCGTTCAAGTCTGGGACTTGGATTGACTGGGTTAGCGCGTCTTAGCAGATTAAGTTGGTTCCAACGAATGGATGCTGCCCGAAGGCATTCTCCAGAAAGTGCCTTGCCAACGACACGATCAGGTTCGCAGCTTCGTTCTGCTGAGACCCGAACAAGTCTGGTTGTTCCTCGACCTGTATCACATCTAACGACTTCGAGTACGGGTGAGACGTTGTATTACGATGCACCATCTGGACCTTCGACGATGTCGACACGTTCAAACAATGGCAACGGTCATAACCGAAGTCACTCCCAGCGGCCTATGTCAATGCCGCCTCTCCCTCCTCGTGCTTTGTTTGCATCTGGTGAGGGTGGGACAAGTAGTGCACCACAGTCGCCACGACCTGGGTTTGGTAATGGGAGTGATAGCAGTAGTAGCCTGAATCGACCTGCGTTACTATTGCTTGATCCTCCCTCAGGTTCTGCACCTGCAAGCCCACGCTTCCCGTCACCTCCCCCAGGGCCGATACGTCCTCACCCCCAAAATGCAGAAACACGCGCTGAGCCTGTCGATGTCCTTGATACTCCTGTACCAGCTCGTGCTGCCGTCTCGCCATTCTCGACAACGTCGTCCCGTGGTGGACCTGCAGTGCCTCCTGGTTTAGAGCACATCGCAAATATACGCTCATGGCGGGACTCAAGTTCTGACATGCCTTCGTCAGCAACATTCGGAACGCATAGCGATCGAGATGTGAGCGTGGATGTTATCGGTAGTGGAGGCGACGTCCTAGAAGAGGCTCCGCCCATGCCAACACATAACTGGACGCAACTACGCGCTGTCACAGTGACAGGAACGTCAGAGTCAAGCAGGCCACGTAGGGCACTCATAGAGGTAAGGAGAATAATATTATACAGCATTCATTTATTTATAGTACACTCACGCATATTCAAATTGTAAATTTTTTTCACAGGCTGAGTTGGATGATCCGCATGATGACGTACACAGTGCTGCTGCGTCGCTACACTCAATCCCAGACCGGCTCAGCCCACTCTCACCCATGGGCTCAGGATCCAACTCACGCGCGCCCTCCAGACTAAACAACTCCTCCCTCGGCTCTAGCTCATCCCAATTCTCGCGCGGACCATCTCCATTGGGGCATGGAGGTAATGGTAATGGTAATGGAACCTCAGGCTCTTCAGCTTCACAACTCGCACATTCAAATTCAATAACGTCGGATGGTCGACGAAGACCGAGACGTGAACCTGGTGAGCCACCAGCAATATCACCTGCCAGTTCGTCGCATTTCGGACGAGCGCGATTGAGTGCGATTGGTGGACATCGTTCACCGATAACTACGCCCCAGCGCAGTCCCGGTGCAGACGCGAGTTTCGCGTTGGCGCAAGAGGGTGCGATGAATGAGGGTACCGGTGCGATCATTGGGCGTACGAGATGAGTTTTCTTCTCCCGAAGTTAACCTATTGTCACTTCTATCTACCTTCTACTGCTTTGATTCGGACATTGTTGTGCACAAAGCTGTCGCTTGTTATTCTACTCCTTTCTTGCATCTTGCAAATTCCGGCTTTGGTTCGGACACGTAGATAATTACCTTCATGGATACTTCACGTTTTTATGTATAATTTCATGCATGTCTGATTTTTATGACTCATTGTTCCGAATATGTTCATGACATGTTAGACAAATTCAATTCAGATTATCATGCAGTGCTCATCCTCTTCACTATTTCACTCAACAACATTGACAGGGCATGTAATGACATTATAGAGCAGTCAGTCAGCAGAAGGTATTCATCTACACCTAGTAAAGCAGTCCTAAAATACCAGGTGGGATTACTATACCAACGAAATACTCTCCTATGACTTACAAAACACAGCCGGTGCCATACAGCACCTCTCCTGTTCTCAACACCACATGAAATTCTGAGTAAATTCTGGGTAAGTTCCGAGGAGTAACTCGATGAGGGGTAATTGATTTTCAAGGTATGGCCTGATTATGTACGGGCATATCGGTGGGCCATGACGTATCTCGGAGGGAATGATGTTCAGCACCAAAAGGTGTGCATCATAATTCTTCCGTGTATGATTGGATCATCATGGGATGGAAGGGTGCGTGACAAACACGCTGGGGTGAAGGTGCGTGAATAAACACGCTGTGGGTGACGGTGCGTGGATAAACACGCTGGGGGGTGCGCGACAGGCACGCTGAGGGGTAGTTGATTTTCGAAACTTTCACGCTAAAGCGTGGTAGTGTCACCTCGAGGAGACATACCGTCGAAAAGACTGGATAAAAATATATTAGTGACGACAAACTGCAAACGGTGAAAGAGAACAAACCTATTATCGAGATGCAATTCGGCCACATACACGACAGTCATTACACGCGGCAATCAACTCGAGCCCTGCCCGACAAACGTCAGCCGCGTGACATGCAGCTGCGCTGGCGAGTAGAAAGTACGGCAGTAAATTATTTATTGGCGTAAGTGTTGAGACAGGCATATAGCCTGTACAACGTTGGTTAACCGATGGTGGAAGACAGAGCAATTTCGTCTCGGTGGTCTTTCCAGTTGAGCAGAATGGGCCAGTAGATGGACCAAAGTAATTGACGATGTTGGCGGTAAAAGCACCGACCGTGTTCATGCAGGGCTGTCAGTGAAGAACTCGTGATCAGCAATCGTTTCTGCATCTACACTGAATCATGAAGAACTTACAGTCTAAGGTTAGACAGCGGAGTGGGAGGAAGGGGGGAGAGGCGGTACTGAGACGACGCTCTTGGACACAAGGGAAGGTGGTGTCGACAGAGAGCAGACGCCTCAGGGAGACCAGATGGGGGATCTCAAAGGTTGGGGTATCGATGGCGTCAGCCTTATAAAGGCATTTCTGACTCCGATTGAAACTCCGAAGCCCAGATAGGCGGTCTCCAACGTGCAAGTGACTTGCCTCAATGCTGCCTCATGTTTGAAGTCGATCCACCCATAGATCCGCATTGTTGATGACTACCATACTAGGACCTATATAAGACCATTTCCGCATGGTACAAGACTGAAATGCATAGCGACGGTTCTTCCCGTGAGGCTTACGGGGACTCTATCACTAGCAGAACGAATGAAGATGATCCGCTGTTGGGTGCTCCAGTTGAAAGAGTAACAGTCCTTGCTTGCGAACATTTAATTTAGACGACTCAAAAAACCTCCCGTAACTATTTATAAAGGTCAATCCTCTTGGTCATGAAGTCGGCTTACTCTCCTGCACAATGCTCAACCTTGGAGAGATGCTGGGCTCTGGTATCTTCTCAGTCCCTGGAGTCATCTTGAATTCCGTAGGATCCGTTGGAATGTTCCTTCTAGCTTGGGTTCTCGCTCCGGTCTTTATATTTGGTCTGTATTTTCTTGAAATATACGTCTCGATCTAGAGCACTTACGATCTCTGTAGCTGGCCTGTCTCTGTTCACTGAGTTGGGGAGCATGTTTCCAAACAGATCTGGAGCAGAGGTCGTTTATCTGGAACAAGCGTATCCACGTCCCAGGTCTCTTGTCCCTGTATCATTTGCAGTGACAACCGTTCTATTATCGTAAGCAAGTGCTTTTGAAGGTTATCCTCGATAAGTTATTCTCAAGTCCACGAATAGATTCAGCGCGACGAATGCTATAGTATTCGCTCAGTATTTCATGGCTTTTTTCGAGATCTCCCCTACCCCGACAAAGCAAACTCTGCTCGCACTTGCAATGGTCACTTTCGCTTTATCTGGTTCGTAAATTTGTTATTCCCACCGTCAAATGGAGAACCAACTTACCTTGCTGGCCGATAGTACCCGCTGTCTCAACGAAATGGTCATTGCTCGTAGTGAATACGATAACGACGGTGAAAGTACTGTCACAATTGATGTGAGTTTTACGTCTTTCGACTGAAGTTTTCTTATCTGAACGTAATTTGAGCCTTATCTCAGCCGGGATAGTCGTCCTAGCAGGTCTGACAAAATTAAAAGATCCTTGGTCGAATTTCTCCGATCCGTGGGCAGGAACGACTTTCAACGGGAACGCCCTCGCCACAGCCTTCGTCAAAACGCATTACGCTTTCGTAGGCTGGAATAATGCATTCAACGTCCTTGCAGAAGTTAAGGGTCAGGATCCAGTCCAGACGGTGCGGAACTCAGGTCGGATTGCCCTTGGGCTTGTCTCCCTACTATTCTTGCTATCGAATATTGCGTATATTGCTGCGATACCGAAAGAAGATATTCAACGCTCTGGACAGCTCGTTGGAGCTCTTTTTTTCCAGAGGGTGTTTGGCGAGACGTGGGCGGCGAAGATGTTGCCGTTCATGGTGATGTTCGCCTCGGTGGGCAATGTCGTCAGTTGGATTTCTCAATTATACGGAGCATCTAAATTTCTGATCACGATTGTTTCTCTAGATTGCAGTTGTAAGAATATACAACTTCAGGAAACCGAACGCCAACTAATACGAGATAACTTCCTTTCACACTATTCTCAGGCTATTGGGAAAGCACGAATCATCCGAGAAATCGCTCGTCAAGGCCTCCTACCCTGGCCAGAATTTTTCGCCTCTACCAAGCCATTTGGCACGCCACTCGGACCCATCTTGATGAAATACCTCTTGACGGTCTTCGTCATCCTTATAGTTCCCGCTGCAGACGCATTCAGCTTTCTGCTTGACTTGTTCTCTTATCCACACTTGGTAAGTATACATATAGTACCCAGAGGCTGTTTGCTGTGGGTCTCGGAGCGGCTGTCTTAACAGCTTTCATTTTCTAGTTCTTCTCAGCTGCAACCGCGGTCGGTGTATGGATTCTACGAAGACGACGGACGTCGATAACTTCAAAAGAAATCTTTGCTAAGTACAGGGCGTCGAACACATCAATTTCATTGTACCTCGTTAGCTGTGTTTTCCTTATTGTTATGCCATGGTAATAACCTCTTTCGTTCATTCGTTCATTCGTTCATTACGTTGAGTTTGTACCCTCCTAGGATCCCACCTGAGAAGGGGCACGCCGACGTATCGTTTTGGTACGCAACGTAAGTGTCCTGACATGTTCCAAAACTGGAAGCCTCGTATTGACGAGCCGTTTTGGTCATTATCACTATCCCCAACATTTTTTTAGCTATTGCGTCGTTGGAATTCTCATACTACTAGTAAGCCCTCCCTCATCCCACTCACCCACTACAACTCTTCTTTTGTTTGTAGGCTTGTGGAGTATATTACTACTTCTGGATCGTCCTCCTACCCCGTCTCGGCGGGTACGAAGTCGTAGAAGAGGTCGAAGAACTCGAAGGTGGTGCTCGGCTTGCACGACTCGTGCGTCGATATCCCGTTGCGACGAAGCCTCCTCTATCAAACCAGCGTGAAGAGAGTGCTGTGGAAGGAGAACGGTCGAGTATAGAGAGTGGTAGTGTGGGTGGGGGTGGACGACAACGACAGAGGTCTAAAGGACAAGTCTTGGATGAACGGGAACCATTGTTATAATTTATCCTGTAGAACACTTGGACAGGAAGTTACTTAAACGCATATACGTAAGTATTTTATATACTGTAGGCTATAAAGTACATCCAAATATTTTGTGCGGGGGTTAAATTTGTTTATAAATACAGAGAGATACCAGAAAACGAAGAAACAAAGTAAAAAGCAGGTCAGATTTTAAGATATTCCTGTACGAAATTGGCTAGCTGCTATCCAGAGAGAATATCCAAAACGAAAGCCAACATAGTTCTTCTAGGAATGGTGGGGCCAGCAAATGCTATGGTATGAGCTAACGCTGCGTCGCGAGAACGTCCACGTTGTTGCCTCTGGGAAGCGCCAGCAGAACTATCGCGAGCGCTTGTCTCGCCATTGTCCCAACATGATAAGTACGATCTCGACGTTCATCCCTTATCCACGTCCATCCGATGCTGAACCAAAAAAGGCGTGGTCAATAACGATCCACACAACAACACCTGCTCCAGGTCAACGAATCAACAAAGATCCATCTAGCCATCCTTCTCTTCTCCATCTTTCTTCCACATCCCCCCCTTCTTCTTCCTCTTCTCCCTCCTTCTAATAGCCTTCGCACGCTCAATCTCCCACCTCTGTAACTCACTCTTCAACCTCAACAACCTCGCCTCATGCGCAGGGTGCGTTGCACCTACAATCCTCCTCGCCAGCCTCACACCAAGACTTTTATTCGCGCCGTCTTCAAGTGCGGAGACGACGAGAGACCCTTCATAGTCATAGTCTTTTGCGTGTTCTGCTGAGCGAGAGGAGGAGCATTCTGATAAGTTTGCGTCACGACGTTGTTCCCAGAAGGAGACCATGTGACGGGCGTCGAACCCTGCGTGGGCGAGGATACGGGCTGAGACGGCGTCGGCTTCGAATTCGAGGTTCATGCTAGAGCAGTATTCCTGTAGGTAAGATTTCGTAAGCATAAGCATGATGAAGTGATGGTACGAAGGAGAGGTGAATCGTCAGGGAGAGAATAAGGATACATGGCGATAGTTGGGAATGAAGTAAGGGACTCACCGTTATCTTCGCGAACTCCCCTGCCCCGATCTTCCCCAGATTCCCAACAGCATCATTCACAAACGGTCCAAAGATCATCGTAATCGGGAACAGAACCGCACGAAGTAAATCGGAGAACATAGATATCGCACCAGGGATGAAGACAGTCCCAGCAGAAAGCGTCTCAAGATGGTGTGATAAGATGAGATGTGAGAGTTCGTGTGCTAATAGGATAGCGAGTTGAGTGATTTGTTCTTCTGTGGGAGTGATGGGGGGTGGTAAGGAATTTTGGTGGTGGTGGTGGTGTGCTCGTGATGAAGGTGAAGTAGCTTGTGACCCGGAGGTGGAGGAAAACGCAAGGAGAGAGCCTATAAGCTCTGAAACCATTGATCGAGATGGAGGAGGACCATGCTCCTCGTGAGGGGCGTTGATGACCGAATTGGTAGGGTTTTTACCAAAGACGCGGTCTAGGAAGCCCGAGTAAACGACTATACCGCCACCTCCATCAGGTCCGAACCCAAAAGAGAACGCATTGTCGCAGTCTGGACGGTCAACGAGCACGAGGTTGTACGGCGGCCCAGGGATCAGATGCGGGGCGTTGATGTCTGTTTCCACAGTTGATGACACCAGGGGAGGAGCCGGTTGGTGTTTAGATCTCATTTTCCGTGACTCGCAGCACCAATTGTCACAAAACCAACGAAGGTATTCCTTCGCAGAAGGTCGAGGCGTGAGTGGGTAGTTAGCAGGAGGAGGGAAGGGCACATCGTCGGGATCTCTATCAGGCCAAGGAAGTTCCAATCGTTTCTCAACCGCAAGGATAGGAATCGTCTTCTCAAGTCGTCGTAACACAGATTCAACAACTTGGTAACGCCAATCGGAAGGTGGTATGATATCAGGTGAACCATCCTGGGAAATCACTTCCAGTACAGCGCGGTACCACCCATCCCCCTGCAACTGCTTCAAAATCGCGTCTTCCTCCTCTGGTGAGAGGAGAATTACACGCCAACGACCTGATAAAGGTGTGCGTTCGAGACTGGCCACGAAGGTAAGGCCGAAGATGACAATCGGAACGGCGATAAGCGCACGATATAGTCTGGTATTTTTCCTTAGCTTTTCTTCTAGTTTGCCGCGCTTGTATTCCAGCTCTGGCTTTTCCTGGATGACATAGTTGAGGTACTTGCGTACGATGATCTTCCGTACAGCTAGGAAGGGTACGAAAGTCAAGGCGATTTTGGTGATCATACTGGCGAATTGGATGGAAGCAGACACCTTGAGATACCAGTGAGACGTCCATTCGCAAGACAAAGGCTAACAAGGAACACGTACCTTGAGGACACTGGCGAGCAAAGCACCTACGAAGTGGCCATGTCGACGCGGTAAAGAGGAACGGAGTTTTACTGCCACCTCATGTCGAGGTGATTTCGTGACAAAAGTACTACGTGTTGCATTTATTTGCAGTGATTTTTGTGTGGTCCAATGCGAGACATTCCTTCGGTTTCCAAAGTTACGCTGTAGCACAACTTGGCGAGAGCTCACAAGAGACGAAAGACGGATATTCGACGCGAACGTCGAGCGCAACATGTTGCATTACTGAGAACAGTGCAGCTAGAGGACGTGGAGGATAGGAACGAGTCAGAGAAAGCAGTGCACAGGATGCGCGTCCCCTTCGGTAGCGAGCGAACTCGTCTAAATATTCGTGAATGCAGAAGGCTGACAAAGCGACCACGTTTGATCGGTCGCTTTTGGAAATCTCCGCGCTGCGATCATAGATCTTATCTTTCCTTTGCACCGCAACTGTTATTCTGGCTGATTACCCCTTAATCTCAGTCTCACATCAGGCACACGTCAAACAAGTTCTTTCATTTCAACAAACATCCGTTTACATCGAACACAAAAACAGAATAACGTACATTAAAAAACTAAAGCCTAAAAGCCTACCCTCCGTACATATGGTAGCTAGCACCAACTCGAATGAAGATGAAGACAATCGCTAAATCGCTTGGAAAAAATTAAAATTGCTGGAAGATAACAAACAAACGATAATAGGGGTTTCGACGGACGATACTGGGAGAGAAAAAGGGGTTCCACGGGAAGTCCATCCAGGATTCTTTATTCTTGTCCGAAACCGACAGTTTCCCTGTAAATCGAAGTTAGGGTGACAAAATAAAACGAAGAATGGAGAAGCGACGTACTCTACTGCCAGTGTGAGTTTCTGCTCTAAACTCTCGTAATCTTTGTATGGAGGAAGGTCAAGGCGATTGAAGCAAGTCTATATTACAAAGAAGCTTTGGTTAACCATCGTGAAACTTAAATAAGAAGTATACATACATGACTCTTAGGAAGCTGAGATGGATCGCCAGATTTTTCAATAGTAAACCGACGGGGTCCATCGGAACCCTGAAGGTCTTTGAAGCCATTGACAGGTATACGTGACGTCCCAGTGGTAAATTGTAGCAAGCGGGACTTGCGTTCCGCTGGCCAACTACGTATGCACTTCCAGAACCATTGTATAACTTCGTCATTCATCTCGTAACCACGGTAGTCCGTGTACTTGGCCCAGTCATCACTGCGCAAACATATTAGTATATGGTGTATGTGGAAAGAGTATGGGGTCAACTTACACATCGATCTCTGACATACCACCAATGAGCAACTCGAGCTCGCGCTCGTCGAAGACGTTTATGAGTTCCTGAGGGATAAGTTCGTTGAAACCGGATATGAAAGCTTCGAATTGCTCTTGGACACGCTTGAAGATACGATACTCGACAACCAAGTCGACATATTCTTTCTTGTTCTCATCGGTGACTGCAACGTCTGCTCCTCCGGGTTTAAGTTCGATAGTCACCATCTCGCCGAAGCGTTCCTCGGCTGTGGTGAATGTTTCGTCGATAACGCCTTCGATCTCGTTCTCACTGTTAAACGCGTCAAGTTGAGTCAAATGTAAAAGTCGTGATTGCTTGGAAACTCACAGCATCCATGTCAAACCTCTGAACAACTCCGCATCCACACTCTCCAAATCTGCCAACGTTACTTTCTTCTTCAAGATCATCTTGTAGAAGCTGACAATGAAGTATGCGTCGAGGAAGCGACGGTGGAAGATTGCCAACCCGAGACAACGTCCAATGAACTTGAAGTAGTTCAAATGCTCCGGGTTGACACCCGATGCCGGATTAATTTGAAGAGTGTAATTATCGTGTGCAGAATACTCGAACAAGCAGTAGAAGGGCTGTTCATGCACCGTCAGATATCGACGCAACAATAAAAGAACTACAACTTACGTTGAACATCTCATGGGATAAGAGGAAGAAGAATTCTCTGTAGACAGTTTATTAACTATAAAGTAGAATATTTATGGAACGGAAGACTAACCTTGAGACACCTCCGTAATCGAGACCGTCTTCACCATCGAATTTGATCATTAATCTCTTCTTCAGGTCAGCAGGCGTCTGTCTCATGATTTCCGCATATGAATCTTCAAAGATGTGGTTTCGCCTAATCTTGATTTGACAGTTTCCTGGTTGAGCACGCATGGCTGGTTGGCTGCGGAAGTAGATGAGTTTCCGACGGAAATCACGCTTGTATTGAGGGACGTTTGTGTCCAAGGAGGATGGCAAGCGTGCTGGAAGATGGAATTCAGTCAAAAGATTGATATTCGAAGCTGCGAAACACTTACGGTCATCCCATGTTGTCGTCTTTGTACTATAAATAATTCAATCTTATATCCAGAGTCGTGATTAAAATCAAACGTACTTATGATCGACTACAGAAGGTCACGTCAATATCATTCCCACTTTCGCGCAGACTAATTTCTTGCAACACTCACCAAAGTAGATTCTGGCAGTCGACGTAAGTCGCATTTCCCATCCAGACGGAAGAGGTCCAAGTTGTGAAATTGATTGAGGTTGCGCTGTCGTAGTCGCACCGTTGGGTCCCATAACCCGAACAATTGTCTGACGGCGAGGGTCCACCCATGTCGTAGTACGAGTCCTGTGAGAGATAGAATAAGCCAAACGTCGATAAAACATCCCTTGCAATAAACTTACGTATGATCGACATAATATGGCCGACCCTCCGGAGTGAAGCGTTCCTCCCATCCAGCGGGTAGTGGACCACTTCCAGCCGTCGTCTGCGATGCAGTAGTAATCGGGGCCGGACTCGCAGCAGCCGCGGATGTGGAACGGTTTACGGTTGCTGCTGACTCAACCATGTCATCCGCAAGAAGACGACGATTGTGTTGGTCACGCGCCGCATTTGTTTCTCCTTGCTGTGCAGAGTTATTTACAGCCTGGTTAGCCGATGGGCGATGCCATGTCGTGCTTCGAGTGCTAAATATAGTGTGATAAGTCATTTGTTCATTCATAACGGAACGCTAATCGGGTCTTACTTGTGGTCCACGTAGTAAGTCCTACCAAGAGGGTCAATGCGACGCTCCCACCCAGGAGGCAGTGGTCCAAGAGGATCTTCGTGAGGATTAAAGCTGCGCGCCGCAGCAGCAGAAGCATTGGTCGCAGCACCAGCAGGCATTGGAGTCTGGGCGACATTTGGGGCTGAAGGGGAAGATGTAGTGGTAGTTGCCCCTGTAGTACTAACGTTAGTTGGGACAGTTCCACTAACGGGGCGGGATGTAGATGTCGGCGTTTCGACGTCCGGATTCGTCGCAGATGCAGTCGCAGTCGGCGACCGATTGATTTGAGGCGTAGGCATCTGCATGACAGCTGGTTGTTCCGGCTGTGCTGGGACTGATGGACCACCCTGGCGACTTGGCGTTCGCGAAATCGCAGACCCAGAAGTGGCTGATGAAGCTGCAACGGGAGATAAAGATGACGCAGTGTCCTCCAAACCCATATTCGACAACGCAGTCTGTATGCCGGAGACAACCGATGGTCCCGGATTACTTATCGGTTGTGATACATTTGTCGAGAGATAGACTATCAGTTTACCGTGGACAACAAGGTTGTCATTGGACTTCTTCAAGTCCAGTGTGAGCATCTCTGTGCGCAGTCAAAAAGCTGTGCAATAGAAGAGTCGGAATAGAACACTCACCATGGCCCCCCAACTCCAGGTCGAGCACATCGCTGACACGAATATTGACCACACCTAAGAACCCTTGGTCCCGCCTCTTGAACTTGCGCTGATCAAAGATCTGAACAGCGATGACGGAGGAATCCTTCACAACACTAATACATGCTTCAGGTCAGAAAACTCCAAACAAATACAAGCAAAAGTTAAGTTTCACGTACACATCGAAGTTTTCGTTCCAATAAGGGTTCAGAGTCTTCTTGATGACACTTGTTGTATGCGTCTGCTCCGCATCAACTGTGATGACTGCGAAAGGGTCGGGTAGCCTGAAGACATCCCGCTTCGAGAGACCATCTGCCGCGACAACTATCCAGGGGATGATCAACACCTGCCGCCACTCGAGCTAGGCCAACAATACTCACCAGTGATCCTGATCTTCCTCGTTCTGTCGGTCAAAGTCAGCTTCCGGCACGACGATAAAGAAGGCGGTGTAATTGCTTACAGAGGTCCAGCAGTCGGCATCTGTGCAGTCCTCAGCGACTATGAGAGTGAAATACCTCGTTCAGGCAGCCGTCAGCAGAAAGACTGGGCAGACGGAAGCAAGAAGGGACGGAGATGACTGTTGGAGACAAGGGAGAACAACAGAATAAGTCGCACAGCGTCGGCGATACTGGAAGGTGACACAATACCGAGACGGAATAGGCACTGCTTTACTCACGCCACACATCTAATCATACATCACGTGATTTACTATAATTTCCAGGCGATTAATAGCTGGTGATATCGTACCATCTTCAGGCGTATCAAACAGGTCAACCATGTCAGTGTTCACCCCTCTTGAGGTCCCTACCATCCCAGACAATGAAGAGCTGAAGCAACCGAAGCTCACAGAAGAACAGGAATCTAAACGGATAGAGGTTCTGTCCCATTTTGACAAGAATGACTACCGGATACCTGGCGAGGAAAAAGGAGAACTTATGGACGAAGAAAAAATGTGGCTAGTAAGCACATTGATATTCTTTGTAGTGATAATAATTACTAATGCGTACAAACCAGTCAAACGACTGTATTCTAAGGTAAGCCATGTCAGACGCCACAAACTGAAAAGAAACGAGTAAAATATATATATATATATATCTTATTCAGGTACTTGGGGGCTTCAAAATGGGTGGTCACTACGGCTAAACAACGACTCGAGGATACTCTTAAATGGCGGCGTGAATATGGCCTCTATAATGGAAAGCTTACGGCAGAGCACGTTGAACCAGAGGTCAGTGGGACATTTTTTCAATAACTGGATTTTATCAATTATAAATGACCACTTTTTACCCTGAAAAAGGCGGTAACAGGCAAGGAAGTTGTGTTCGGTTACGACACAAAAGGAAGGCCTGCATTCTACATGATCCCTAGTCGACAAAACACGACTGAGTCCCCGAGACAACTTGAATACGTTGTTTGGATGCTTGAACGGTGTATTGATCTCATGGGTCCAGGAGTCGAGTCCGTTTTAACCGTCAACACGCCTATTTTACAATGCAACAAAAACTAAATTATTAATGTTTTATTCCAGATCTCTCGACCTCCTCATCAATTTCGCCGACAAAGCAAAGAACCCCTCCTTCAGCACTGCCCGTCAAACGCTACACATCGTTCAAACCCATTACCCCGCTCGTCTCGGCCTTGCACTCATCATCAACGTCCCCACTCTCGTCAACGCCTTCTTCAAGCTCATCATGCCCTTCGTCGACCCCTTAACGCGTAATAAAGTCAAATTCAACCCGTGTGTATTCGACGACGGTTATTTCACGCGAGACCAAGTTATGAAGCAGTGGTGGGATGGAGAACGGGAGTTTGAGTATGTGCATGAGAAGTATTGGCCTGTTCTTGTGGAGATGTGTGAGGAGCGGAGAAAGAAGCAGTTCCAGCGGTGGAGGAAGTTAGGTGCGAAAGTGGGGATTAGTGAGTGGGATATGAAAACTGGGTGGAGTCCCTCAAGTCAGCCAGAGCAAGTACCTGTCTCCGAGAAGACTGTCGAGGCTCCTACGGTTGATGTCGAGCCTACCCCTGCCGTAGTCCAGTAGATAAAGTAGATCTTGAGTATTCTGCCTTTTTACTTCTATTTGCTTGCGTTTCTTGCAGTTCCTCGTTTACGGAATGGGAATCGGGTTCTAGGCTATACTCGTATAGATTCAATGTACTTAGATATTTTACTTTTGCAGTAGAAATCCATCATAATATGCGTGTTATGATCAGAAAGATGTACACAGGTCAAAAAGAATGCTCGCTGGAACTAGATAAGCCAAGGCAGTTAAGCAGTCTGCTTAACCTTTTTCGACTGTGTCCAGAAAATAAGCAGAAGTAAATAATACCGCACCCAGTATTGGTGACAATCGACTCACATATGAAATCGCTCCAAAGTCGTAATCAATCCCTGATGCCTGTAACTTTCTTTTCTTTTGTTTCTCACGTTTCACCAACCGTTTCTCGACATGTTTCTTTTGTTCGTCCGACCTCTCCTATCGTCGAGTTAAGAATAAAATCAGCAGCATCAGTAAGCATATTAATGAACATATTGCGAAGTTATTTACTAAGTGTGACTCACTTTATTTTGCTGCATCCTCTCAATCCTATCCATTGGTACCTTCCTGTATTTCCTATTAGCCCCAATCCAAAGCGCAGGATGTACCTCCTCCTTCGGGACGACTTTACAACGTAAAATATGTCCCATGAGCAGATAGTTGTCCATCGTCTCCGCAACGATCTGTGCGACCGCTGCGGAAGAGAACTCGATGAATGCATAGTGTCTTGAGCGGCCAGTCTGTAACACAAAAACGGAGTTGTCAATGAATAACATTGCTTTGGCTTTGACTGACTTGTCTAAGAGTAAGTATATACCTTTTTATTCCGCGATAGACGTAGACGAGTGACGTCGCCAAATTGCGAGAAGTACCCTTTCATCTGGTCTTCGTAGAATCCATGTGGTATACGCCCCAGATATATAACCCCCCTATCAGCCGTCTAGAAGATGAAGGGGGAAAGAACCGAAGACGTTGAGCTAGAGCAAAGTTGAAAAAGTGGAATGCATGCACTCACAGCCTGCTTCTTCGCTTTCTCAAGTTTCCGCTTCACAGTTGCGTCATCTTTCGCAACAGTTGGGAGCTTCGCAACATCCACAGGCGCTTTATCTACGTCGTCTTCATCTTCGTCAGATGAGTCGGACCCAGAAGAGAAGCCGTGCAAAGGTTGCCATTCCTCCTCCACTTCAGATTCGCTCTTCCCTTCATCGTCTTCCCCCTGATCATTTTCACTTTTCTCGCCCTCAGATTCTTCATCTTCGACCCCTTCTTCAGCATCATCATCCTCAGATCCTGAAGTCTGTAGAGACGGCGTTGAGATTTTCTTTGTCGCCTTCCTCTTAGCTTCAACAGGCGTTTTCGTTTTCGCAGTCTCCGTTTTCGATACATCTGCTCGTTTCTCCTCTTTCCTCCGTTTCTCCTTCACACCACTCTTCTCCCCCTTCGACTCATGCTTCTGGGAAGACAGGGGTAATTTTATGGTAGACCCTTGCTCCTCTTCTTGCCCCTGCACTTTCTCCTTTCCCTTCGTCTTCTTCATTTTACGATTATCGGCTTCATCCTCGACAGATTTCTTCCTCTTTGTAGACGCTATTGTTGCCGTTTTTGCAATGGTGTTAGCCGTAGCTTTAGAGGGCTGCTTCTTCCCGACAGTCTTGACAGTGCCTGGCATAACAGAAAGACACCAGTATTAAGGGTGAAGGAGAGTTAATGAGGACCTGTGCTAAAACACTTTTGGCGATCTTGACGAGCTGGCGGCTTTGGTTCTGAGGGTTTATTGCCTCCGAACCAAGGGACCCAAGAGAACCAGCCCATATTGAGTTGTACGCTGGACGTTGTGGTATCGAGAAAGTTCGGAGGCAAGCCGAATAGAGTACGAGTGGAAACTCCCGAGAGCCTGTGGGAAACTAGTTTTCCACAGGTCATTTTGCTGGGGCTCTGGAGGCGTGGTAAACCTCGCGTGGACAACACTTAGTCAGCATATTAGTAATATCATTATAATGTTCCAAAAAGGAAATTTTAAAGAATTTTGTGTCGTTTACCTCTATTGAGCTGAAAATTTAGGTACAATATTAATTTCAGACATTGGTTATACTGCTGAGAGCAATTTTATTGTGTTTTATAGTCTACCAGTGTTGAAACATACATAATAAATAGATATATCTAAGAGAAATAAAAAGAAAGAGGCAGCTAATTACATTGACCAGGCTTTATTATTGTTCAAAATTTGTAAATTGTCCAAAGAGGTACTGGAAATATTGTCCATATCTATCACTTGTACCTCTCCAGATTTATCAGAGTGTACTCCTTCAAATGAAGGAGTATCTGAAAGAATGTCAAGCAAAATAGGAGATGTTAACCTAATAAAATGACAGACATAGAGTATATGCACTCTCAAACTATCTATTTTCCTTGCTTTTCGTCAGGTTGAGGCATTTTTTCTTAATTTATCTACTGACATAATATTATGTATGACTAATACATTTGAGTTTTCCACAGGCCAATTTCCGGCAACCCTTGTGGTAGTGAGGTTTACCTCGTGGGAAACCTCTGTGGTAATCCTCACTGTGGGAAACTAGGGAGTTTCCACTCGTACTCTAAAGCCGAAAGACTGGCAGTGAGCACAAATATATTACCTAATAAGACTATTGAGAATGGGAACGATCGACGTTTCCGAAGGACTTGTGAATTTTTGTTTACAGCTGGGAAGCCCGAGATGCTTACTTTGCATGCCTTGGTGCTGCTGGCATCGTGAAGCCTGGAGACGAAGGCAAGGCTTGCGCAACGCAACTTAAGGCCTATGAAGGTGCTTGTGCAAAGAGCTGGGTACATTCTAGTCAAATCATTTCATTTCCTGACCTGACAAGTCTTGGGAATTCTCAGATTGAATATTTCAATCAACGGAGGGTGCTCGGCGAACAGCAAAAGGAGTCATTAGCTATGGCAAATACTCAGGCAGAAGAAGCACGGAGGAAAGCACGGTAGTGGATTATTTGATTAAAGTAAGTAACTGGGTTAGTCCTGCTCCGGACAGAAATTAATCTGCTTTATTCACATAGATTTCGTCAGGAGGGAACTTCTCCAAAAACATCGTGTATCTCCGAAAACACATTCCCCCAACATGCACAATCATTATATTCAATCAATGAAATATTATTGGTACACCAGAAGTACCTATTTCAAGGCTTGCTATCTGGAGAAGTATATGCAAAACCGAAAGTCTATCTGCCTTATTCACTACACTAAAGCTGCAGTATGTTTATTGAAGATGCATCATCCTATCATGCCTAGTCGGTTTATTCAATCAATGCAGCATAGTCGATACAGTAATGGAATCCACTGCGAATTTTGTTGTTCAAAAGAAAATGTTTGAAAATGTCAGATCGGCAGCATCACACAAGGAAACTCCCGCTCTTGTAGACCACATGGCTGATGTAGAACGAAGGATACGAACAGCACAGTCTAACTGGTGGGTCGGAAGCTCCTCTGCGACGCAGATACGGGATAGGGCGGAGGAGATCCAGCTGTGTCCTCGGATCCCTGTGATGAAGTGACGAACAACAGGCGGAATCTGTTTGCTATTGATAGATAGAAAAACAATCAATACAGTGCTGACCTCTATTGCAAGTTTTGCTATTCAAAAAAAAGTGCGAGATTATCGGATCAACAACATTGGAGTAGGAAACTTCTGCACTTGCAGACCAAATGAGGTAGTGGGTGTAGTACGAATGATACGAACAGCTCGGTCTAACTGGTGGATCGGAAACTCCTATGTGATGCAGTCATGGGATAAGGTGGAGGAGATCTATCTGTCTCCTCAGGCCTTTCTGACGAAGTGCTACCTAGACGGAAACTATTTGCAGCTGGTGCAGGAGGGTGCATCAAAGCCTGGGGTGTCCCAACAGATGTAGCTCCCTGAGGTCCGCCTATATGTGGAGCATAATCAGTACTGTGCGGCAGTAGAGCTAGTAAATTGTCCAGTCACCATTTTCGCCCGATATTGGTAACGGTTTCTCAGTAGTATGCCAAGACGGATCACCTATTCCCGCCTTCGTCGTGCAGTGATCAGTTTGACGCTTTGTAACTTGTCTACCATAGCCATTTACCTCATATCTAACAGTGTACGGGATAATGGTGTTTATGCCTGCATCCTTTCGGTTCATAATGCCTTCTCGTCTCCTTTGTCTCTTCATCAGCACGATGCCGAGGATTACCGCTACGACACCAAAAACGACGTCAGCGATCACTCCAATGATGATTGTCTTAATATGCTTCCTGGAAACTTTGGTCACACCTCTTAAGATCTTCGGTAAGCCGATGAGTGTGCGCCAGCGATAATGACAAGTTAACTCACGATCCTTGCCCGGGATTATTATTATTTGAGGTGCTGGAATTGAGTGAATAGATCTCAGCTCTTGACATTGAAAATGTCGTCTCTCCTATTCCCAGATTTGTGATGCTAACGGTGGTCGGAATGCTCTCGTTGAAACCATCTTGATAGTATATCAGTGTCTCATCGATCGGAATCGGTGAGCCCGCATTGACAATGTTGACTGCATCTCTGTGCTGCTGTAAGCGGAATAATCATCAACTATTATCACGTCCATTCTACCACATACTGAGCGCTCACAAAAGAAAACAAGCCACTGGTCGCGTTAACTGGGCCATATATAGCAATAGCTCGCCCTCTAAACGAGAAATTCATGCTATCTCCGGGACTATTCGTCGACCGTACTGTGGTGAGCGGCTGTGAATTCAGCGGGAAACTATTCGAGGAAGTTTTCGTATGCCATGTTCCATGCGGCACCATCATCTCAGCATCATCGCTTGCAAAACTGTCTAGCTTCGGAAGCTTTGATCTAATGCATGATGATAAACATTCAGTTGCAATTCATGCTTTCACGGACCTAACCACTCACATGCTAACAGCGGATGAAGTCACCACAAATTTATGAAATTTGAAGTATTGCATTTCATAGTTAGACAATACAGTGAGTTTCAGGGAATGCCCGCCTAGGTTGGCCTCGTTCGATTGATATAATACGTCCTTCTGGCTGGACAGCTGGGGTTCTTCATACCCGTCGAAGTAAACAGCATACGAAGCGTTGGTATTCCCAAAAACCGCTATCTGAGTCCCTAAACGATAAAGACAAATTCAAGCTAAATAATGAATGGCTCTGAAGGACACGATGTACCATAGAATAACAACGACAGGTTCGTATAAGGCATACTGGTAATACGATGTGATGTTTCAGAAGTAGCGTCATAAAAAGTTCCCCAACCAGTGGAAGTGTTCGACCCATCGCCTATAGAGAATACAGGTACATATAAATACGTGAGTGACGGGATTTTAGCTTTAGAACTTGCTTACTGAGTGTCGGGGCATATTGGATCAACGGACTTATGGCATTGAAGTCGAATTCCCAGGCCCTGGGTGCAGCCATAGTAAGAACAGTACTTGCTGGTTGCGCAAATACCAATGGTCATAAATGCAGCGTCAAGCCAAGTTATGAGCGCCAAAGCTGTCCGGGAGCACCGACACACCAGTCTTCTTTACCTCAGTACCATTAGACAGTGGCGAGACTTGACGGTTGCCCAAGGTCAAATCACCAATTGATAACATCCATATTTGCAGAATGTCAGAAACCGAGTCTTTCCTGTGCTATCCCAGCGAATTAAACGCATGGCAGTCGCAATTGGTGTCAACTGCGCGCTTCGAGATTTAAATGGAGCCACTTCCGAGACTCGATGGAGTTCATGGCGCCTTTTCTACGAGCAAGCACCCTCAGCGACATTGTTTACAATGGCTAGTTACCTCATCCCCCATAGTATATGGGACAATAATACCCATATCTGCATTCTTTTGGTTTGTGATGCTTCCTTTCCTTCTTTTTCTCTTCATCGGTATAATGCCGAGGATTGCCGTCACGACTCACGACAACGAAAACGACGCCAACAATCACTCCAATGATAGTTTCAGTGCGCTTCCTGGATGGAAATGTTGATCAAACCTCTAAAGACCTTCGGTAAGCCAATGATTACGCGCCAACAATCCAGAGTCGGTAGTATGCTTCATGATCTGGCGGCGGCGCGAGCGGCGAGCGATCGCGACATGCAAGTTCTTACAGTCACGAGATCGTATTGAGCACAGGCACGTGCTGATCGACGGACGTCATCAAGGCTCAATACCGAGGCCCGCTACAGCGCTACCGTGCTTACACCCAAAGGTCAGCGAGCACCAACAACCATCCTTCATCCATGGGATGACTTCAACTCCCAACAGTCCTGCATTGCCGAGCACTGCAGATACGCACCCTCTTTCTCCGTCAATACAGCCCATCGCTCGTCGAGGTCGGGCCAAACAGAATGCCGTCAACGAAGATGCACGGCCTGCTACAAATTATTTTACGCTGAAAGCTCAGGCGGAACATGGTAATCCGATCATAAACGAAGCGAAGAAACGTGATGTCAAGGCCCGGGGCTCTTCTAACGCTCTCGCTGGCAGTCACACGTCAGACGTGGGCCGTATCTCATCTGAGCGATCATTGTCGTCACTGTGGGATAATCGCCCCGTTTCCAGGGAGATAGAACCTGCAAGAGGCGCTTCCAGAGTAAGAAAAGCGGAAGAGGCTGTTCGATCACAGACTTTGCCTGTTAAGGAGAAAGGGGACTTTGGACCTGTTACCACTTCACAGGTTTTGAACACGAAATGGCACGAGTTGTCGGACATTCAAATCAAGGACACAGTTTCGCGGTTTGGGCCGTCTAGTTCATCTTCTGGCGTTTCCTACCAATCGTATCACAACGTTCTACGTACTCTTTCTGCTGCTCTAGAAGATTTATCCGTGGAACGAAGCGAGCTTGATAAACTCCGTGTCTTTATGGAAGAACGGGACAAAACACTCAGAATGCATGCAGAGCAGGCTGTAGAGAAATTACCTCTTTCCGAGAGAGATATTGGATATCGTATCCTGAATTCGGCATTTTCAGAACCTGAGGACTCGAGACCATTAGTGAAACGGCCCAGCGTTTTAGTAAGTTATTTTCGGAGGTATTATCTACAAGTCTAATCGTTTCTTGCAGTCGCTTTCTCAATCTTTGAATGAGGCGCTCATGGAAGACGTGGATATGAATCCAAAAGTTAGTGGTGAGCACGCCAGGATAGATACGGGGATCGCTTCGCTAGGTGGTGAAGACGATACAGATATCGGCACTCCAATTTCAAGGGTCCACTCTGAAGCGTCGGGCCTTCAATCAGTTATCAAAAGTGATGCTGGCTCTGATACCCTTGTTATAAATAATCAGACAAATAATTTTTCTAGCGCTTCTGACCTTGGTCCCGGTCCCTCTGATCGTCCAGGCATTAGCAAGTGGATGGGAACTTGGTGGTCCAAGGACAAGTCAAAGAGGGGGCGTCCTGCACTGTTGGTTTCCTCCCCAGACGATGAGGACACGCGGAGGTCATACGTCGTATCCGACAGAGGCGAGACCATACGGACAGATAAACCTAGACGTAAAAATAGCAAGAGCGTATTTGGATCACTAGGCTTCTCTATAATGAATCCGACAGTAGCTCCTTCTCCGAAGAGTTCTACTGCGGAAAACCAGTCTATCTCAGATGAGTCAGCCGCCCAAGAAATAATTCATAAGGAGAGTCCCCAAACTTCTCTCTCCTCGCCGACACACGAAATTCCACCGGCAGCTCCTCTTCCACCGCAGCTCACTAAGGCACCAGATCTATTGGATGTCGAGAGCAACAGTTCTTCTGCCTTGTCTTTCTCATCTGAGCCTCTTCCTCAACAAGGCGCTAGCTTGCAAGCGATAGTAAATGCTACGCGAGTGATGAGCAAAGATCCGTCCAGTATCCTTGTTGCTCGGGGTCACGAAACTAGCGACCTAGTCGCACAACTAGCAATGACGCTTGTATCCAACGCTCGAGAGGAGGGTATCGTTTTTAGAGGGCGGCTCAAGGAGAAGAAATTACAAAAGACGGAACCACCTGGATCTCCGGAGGGTTCACTTGCCAAGGGACTGATTGACCCCGTCGAGCACGCGGATGTCCGGGCCACTCTTAGTAAGGCTCTGTCTGGACAGACCGTTGTCAGCAAGACTCGGAGACCTCAGGCGTCAACTGCACTGTTCGGTGGGCCGTTGTTTGGCCCGTTCATCGCAGAACAACAACGGAAGATTTCGAATGCTGTTGGCGCTGTTCAGAAGAGTGCTGGTATAGTATCATTAAATAATAGTGGGTCTGTGGCGCAAGGCAATGGAGGAGAGGTCCAATCGTCCTCGCAACAAGGCAATGCGAAGCCACGTTCCGTACCACTGGATTCGATTATCCCGGATACCGCTAAGCCCCCAACTCAGTACCTATCTAAGCGATATGTCTCCTTGACTTCGAAAGATTTCCGTTCGGCAATGCAGATATCGACCGCTGCGTCACGCTATTCACGGAAAGATGAGGTCTCGTTCAGTGAGCCTCTTACCGATCGATATGGGTTCATTTATGACGTTACACAATATGATGCTCTCTTACTCCGAAGAGCCGAGGAATGCCAGAATTCTGCTCCTGCATGTTTAACGGGTATCAAGATTGCGGATAGACGAGAGGAAGAGGAATGGTCGGACGAAGCTCTGGAAAAAGCTACCTTGGAAGTTGTCAAAGGCAATTGCGAGTGTGATTGTGAGAGTGATGATGCACATGACGGCAGAGCGCAATCCGTCGACGAAGAGTCCATACATTCTGGCCATTCACAGGGTTCGCGAAGTACCAAATCTCCATCTCTTCATCGGCGTCCTTCTACTGTATCTACTAGAAGGAGGTCAGGGACCATTACCGTGCATCCAGTAACATCACCGGCCTCGATCTTGACTGTTGAACTAGACACGCCGCGACATGTATGCGAGAAACGCATCCGTGGCATGTTGCATCGCCTTAGAGAGATTCATGATGAACAGCAGGAAACGCGTAAAAAGCTGTGGGATGTTTTCATTAAACAGCGCAGCAAAGCGAAGGCCAAATCTCAACAGTCCGGAACGCCAAACGCCAATTTGTCAGGAGGTGCTGCCGTAATGTTAGGTCTTTCGACACCGGATAATGCCGAAGAACTTGATCACAATGACGGTCTGATTGGGTTCAGTGGGATGGGTTATTCACTGAGTCGTGAAGAACGACGCGAACTTGAGCGACTAATACGGGGAGGTGTCCCTCTAGTCTATCGGGCCAAGATCTGGCTGGAGTGTAGTGGTGCCTCAGAGATGATGGAACCAGGCCTTTTCAGAGATTTGCTTCATAGTCGCGAAAGCACAGATAGTGTTGACGCTGAGATCGAGAAGGATGTTGGTCGGACAATGCCATTGAATATATTCTTTGGTGGTGACGGGCCAGGAATCGATAAACTTCGAAGAGTTCTTCTTGCATATAGTAGGTACGTGGGCAGCTGTATAATTTCCATTGACACATATTTACTTTCAATTCACAGACGCAATCCATCGGTGGGCTATTGCCAGGGGATGAATCTCATCACCTCTACTCTGCTTTTGGTCTTTGGAAACGAAGAAGAGGCTTTCTGGGTCCTATCTGCCATCATTGAACGGCTTCTTCCGAACGACTTCTTCTCGCCTTCCTTGTTAGTTTCTCGTGCATGCCCTTTGGTCCTGATGGAGTATGTCCAAGACCTTATGCCTGCCGTCCATGAACATCTGACGGGGCTAGGGGTCGATCTTCCCGCTATATGTTTTTCTTGGTTTTTATCGTTGTTTACGGACTGTCTGCCAATCGAGGTGAGTATTACATCCTTATTCATGTGCCATATTTATAATATTGTTGCGTATTAGACTCTGTTTAGGGTTTGGGACCTGTTCTTCGTTGACGGACTTGATGTGTTGTTTAGGATCGCTTTGGCCGTATTGAAAACTAGCGAGTCAGAGCTGTTAGCTTGCCAATCGATTTCCGCTGTCTACATTTCGTTAGAGAGCCTACCAACTCGCATGTGGCAGCCTGATAAGCTTCTGCAGGTACGTGGATAAACAGCGTTTTTCATGGCAGATTTCATTGCTAAAGAAATTCACAGGCAGAAGCAGAATTGCGCGCCAGTGTTGTCCACGTCGACATTGTAAAACGACGCAGCGTACATGTTAAGCAGCTTTCGGAGGTGTTATAATAGACGTAAGTCATAGGGATGCGTTTATTACGCGGATTTCAATCTACGCTCATTGTAGTAAATTTACTGTACCATACCTTCGCAGTTGATGTATTATAGACAATCTAATCCATAGAGGCTAAAACGTTACTTCTGGAGTGGACATGGGAATTCGACGACACGAACAAAGACAAAAGCAATCAATACAGATCCGAGATTACATCCTTCCAGTTAGCTTTATGCATTTATATTTTACAACCAGTACAGCTAAGGATTGGCCCCAAGCTGATTCGATGTTGATGTAAGGTCTTCACGCCTCATTGTGTAATACCCTTCCCATATGTAGATGCCACTTGTAACGCATCAGTACTAGCGACATGGCCTACCCGCAAATACCGGGTCTTGTTCTTGATGTTGCGGATGTATCATCAAGTGCTACTTTATCTAGGCCTTCTTGTCCTATTGGTTGTAGGGCGGCAACAACGATGGTATTTGCAGGAACCGACCCTCTACGGATTGGAAAGTGCTCTTTCTATGCCAGGGTGCAATTATGCAAATACCTTTACGGCAATTAGTTGTAGCTATAAATGCGAAGCCCTTTATGGGCAGTAAACAGAGGGTGCTCTAGGATCAGACTAGAATAATTGACCGGTCAATCTAATAGTGGCTAGGTAAAGGGTGATTCACAAATTATCTGAGAGGGAGGACCAAGGATAGCAAACAAGTGAGAACGTTTTATCCTTGAGATCAACCTCGTTTGGGCCTGCTTTTTTCTTAAGTCCATTTTGCGTCTGGCCCTCAGGCTGGTGTGTGGAACACGTAAGCGATGTAACGTCATTCGTTACTTTGCAAGTGCAAAGCAAGCAGTATTCTAGAACACGTAAAGCTCGGTTATGTCGAACCTGCACCATCATCCAACCCGGCAGCATTTTTCAGAAGAAATAAGTCCTCATCTTGAGGAGGATTTCGAGGATTGTTCAAAACGATGCGCCGCCGCGAGCCTCAACAAACCCATAAATTAATAGTCAACGGGCACACAACATATTCTGTTCCAGTAGCTGAGAGCGTATGTAGACCAACCAATATCGCATCATATGTTCAGTAAGAGCCCTGACAAACAGAGGCCTTTAACAGAGACAGGCGACCAAAACACCAGAAGGAAGTAAAGATATTAAATACACAACAGAAGACTACGGTCATATTGTAGATGAGACAGAATACAAGATCAAAGAACTAATTAAGTATTGGACAGAGCAGCAAAAAACAGCTAAGTCTTCTATTACCCAATGGAAAGTCAATGTTAGTGATGCAGCAGATGCTGTGAAGAAAAAATTGGATGAAATTAAAACATTTGTAGTTGACCTAGAGAGGGAAGTGGAACCATTTGCTCCTGATGAGGTAATAGAAAAAGTCCAAAAGCGTGTTAGTTGTTTACGAAACGTAGTAGGCGCTCTGGTCATTGAAGTGGATAAATGGAGCCACAAGGTAGACAGAGCTAATAAATCAATCACTGTGTGGGAAGCAAATATAAAGGATGCTGAAAACAGCTCAGCTTATTGGACAGCTGCACTACATGATATACCGACTCTTGCTCCAGCTGGAAATAGGCATGAACATATTTCATTACAACTTAGGCTCAGAGAAATTCAGAGAAAGACAGAAGAGGAGTACAGGTTAATAAAGGGTTGAAGTTCAGGAAAGGAGTGATAATTGATTGGTATAACTATTTACAGTAATAAGAGCTGATGGTTGTGCTAGATATATAATAATGTCACGTCCATTGCTGAATACTGAATCTCAGTAATCTTTACATTTATAATGATCCTAATAAAACAAGACAAGACTATTTATAGTATTATACTTATATGTTTGGTTTCACTTTGTTTTCCGTACGTTCTCAATGTATAGCTTATGTAATCACCATAAGCTACTTTGCATGTGCAAAATACGATCGGGATGCAGGATATGTAAAGTTCAGGATAGTATTAAAACTGTACTGCTATTTTTCTAGAACAACTTGAAATTGTTATAAATCAAGTCTAAGACCTCAGACTAAGGTGGACAATAAGGACTCTGTTCAAGCTTCAAAGCAATGAATTCAAGTCAACACAGGGATCTGGGGTCCCAACAGTCAGGCAGAAGGACAACCTCTCAAAGAATAGAATATTGTACTCCAGGGCCTTACACTAATACTAATGTATGTAGACAATACAGTCTATACTGTATTTATGCCTAGGATTACTGACAGACAGTACTCTCTGAACTAAACCAGGCAACTAGAAAGCAAGATATGAAGAAAGACTTGAGAGAAAAATCAGAGAGTCATAGTCCTGCTAAGGAGATAGAACATACACAGAAAATGATCAAAGAACTGATTAGATATTGGGCAGAGAAGAAAGATGCAGCCAACAGTAGTATTGCTCGGTGGGAAGGCAGCCATGATACTGAAGAGGTGACTGAAGAAGTGAAGGTCAATCTCATCAGCATTAGAACAAACATTATATCTGAATTAGAGGATGAAGTGAAACCCATTGTTACTAAGGCAGTAGTCAAGGGAGTTCAGAGTTCTGTTATTAACTTACTAGACACAGTGGATGTTTTAAAGAATGAACAGATTAAAGCATGGGGCAAAAAAGTACACTTGGCCAATAAATCAATTGCTAAATGGAAGGAGTGTAGAAAGGAGGCTGAGAGTAAATTAGTGTATTGGAACGATAAATCGCAGGCTATTAGTAATACTGAGGTTAGTGGAGAACGGATGCAGCGGATAATTAGTGAGATCCAAAAGGAGGCAAGGGAGGAGTACAATTCGATCACACAATAAAGAGCTGTTATACAAAATGTAGCTGGTGAGAGACTGTTGTTAGTGCGAGATGTTTAGTAGCGAGATGTTTATTGCTAGTTACAGAAATATGATTTGATCTTCATTCCTGAAATAATAATAGAACAGTAAAAGAACAACTACGTCTAGTTAGGGCTCGGTCCCGTACCGTATTATACGGATACGGCCTTTTCATATACAGTGCCGTACTGTATCCGTATAAAAAATTTGACTCAAAAATACGGCACGTATTTTACGGGCCGTAACCGTATATAGTCTGTATAATACAGACCGTATACGCCTGTATACGATATACAGCTACTAAATGAAAGAAACTCTTGCTCTAAACATAATACTGAAGCTCTAATAAGTAGTATTCAATGTTCAGACACTTATACTAGCATTTACTAATAAATTCAGCACTATTATTGTAAAAGTATGTGCAATCTGATATATATTCCGATATATAGGTACATCACATGACTCGACTTTATGACAAATATCACAGACTAAATTACATAACAAAATGTCAATAAGTCAAATTTTATACATTTCATGTAGATTAAGGCATAATATAGGTAGAATTCAATATTACTATACTAAAGAGGTAATATCACAATGATGTAGCCCCTTACATTTCATGCTACACCTTGGTAAATGTAGCAACTACGCCGTATCCGTATATGGCGTATACGTTCCATATACGGCCGTACCGTATTCGTATAGGTTTTCGGGTTCAGAAATACGGCACCGTATTATACGAGCCGTATCCGTATAAGGGTCGTATTATACGGCCCGTATCCGTATACGGTACAGTACCGAGCCCTACATCTAGTACGCATTCAGCTGTGTCATGTGGGACCGGGCTCATCCGACAGAAGAGCTGACCAAGGTTACAGAATTTACGAAAGAAATCTCGGTCCAAATTGTCAGAGAGGAAAGATAGAAAACGGGTAGGCATTTCCCTTCGTTTCAGACTCTATCCTGCATATTGTGCTTTTTATATTGCATATCGCCCCGAGGGCCGACTCGGTTGTAAGAATTAGGTAAGCATCATCCCCTACCTTTGCATGTGCACATATGCAATCTAGAACGTGTAGGGGCAGAATTATATTGCGGCTGAATTGCCATCCAACTAGATTGTGCCAAGAAACAAATTCTTACTCTTGACTTAAAGCAGACAAAAACGTCCTATCCAAGAAATGGATCGGGCATATCAGAGTGATTTAGGCTCAGATAGAAAGAAAAGCACTCAGACAACTGTCCTGGGAAATGTACGTAGTTATGATATCTCATACTGTGCTCACTCGACCGGCAGAAGTACTGACAATCAGAGGCATGCAACAGGGTCAGCCTATACAAGCAATTAGAAAATGAGGGAGTCCGAGTAATTCAAGAAAGGACAAGGTAAGAAGTCAGACAGAAAGTTTTCCTCGGCCGGAGCAGATAAGAAAGACAGAAAAGATGGGCAACACCCTGATCACAGATTGGCAATCCCAGATGCAGGCAGCTGAATCCGAAATAGTTGAGTGGGAGAATAAAAAGAAGCCTGTTGATGCATTGAGGGACATCATGAAAAAGGTTAACGATTGTATTGCTGATTTAAACCAAAGAATAGATGAAATTGACGGTGCAGATGCCTCCGTATCTATACAAGTAGTAGGCAGAGTTGAGGTGTCTTTTACTCGCTTAGAAGCCATAGCAAACTCTGGCTACACAATAGCTGATGATTGGGGGAAAGATATGAAGAAGGCTCAGAAGTTGATAGCTGAACGCACAGAGTGTAAAAAGCAGGCCGAGAAGGGTATAGCTTACTGGACGGACAAGTTAACCACAATTCAAGCTGTTGCAACACTTTCAGAAGATCAACCCACAATCGGTGAACAAGAGAAACAAATTTTGAGTAAATTCAGAGACATTCAAAGAAAGGCAGTGGCAAGGTATGAGGAAATTTCCAAACGCAGTACACGGAAGGAATATAAATGATTGGTACACTTGTACCAAGTATAAAATAGTATAATACTTAGTACTTGATAATATAATAGTTTTCTTTTCTAGGTCTTACAATTACTTTAATAATAGCAAATTACTTTGAAAATAAGTATACTCTTACTACCCAAAGCTCCAGTTAGCAGTTGTCCATATTTTAAAGCAACTTGAATTCGACGAAAATATGATGTTAATGAAGGAAGTTTTAGTAGTTACAGTAGCACAGCAAAGAAAAACTGAAACAGAATGCTGTATGTATGTGTTAAGAAAGGGGGAAAGAGGTTATGTGAGAGGCTTAGAGAGATCACACAAAGAGGGGGGATAGTGGACTCAGCTCGCTCTCTCGCAGCTTGCTTCATTGTCCGTTGATTAGTTAGTCTATATATACTATGTAGGTATGTCTCAGATGTAGAATGTATGATGGAAGGTATTCCATCATCGTTTGTCATTGCTTGTAATGTAGTTTATATCATCTGAGACATACTCTCGTGTAGTCTCATCTTAACACTCCCCTTCAAACTCTTACTAGGTCTAGTAGACTTGTAAGATGTTTGCTTATAGTATGTATAGATAGTTTAATCATTATAACTGCATTGTACAATTGTTCGTTCGTGTAACACGTTTATAACTTGATGTAGTTAATAATAATATTATTAGTATTGTAGTAATGCATTGTTCGTTCCATGTACCATCTGTTCCAAATGTCATCCACTTTGTGTTAAGTTCGTCCAATGTTATATTAATTAAGTATATTTAATTAGTTTGTTCGTTTGTAATATATTGTTCAATAACAGCATTGTTATCACAATAGATTGTTTGTAAATGTTATTAAATAATTTGTAAATGCTTCAGAGACCTGCAGAATCTTGTTGGCATACATAGGTACATATATGTGCATATTTAAATCATAAATGCAATTGCTTGTTTTGTTTTATTATTTGTTATTCAGTCATATTGTT